CTATGTAAGAACATTTCTAGAGGGAAAGCGGATTCTCCCCACCACCTACTTAAATAACACTGATCTCATAGACAAAAGCTTACACCAGTGAAAAAAACATTTAATTTATCTCGACTATTGATCGTAGAATCCTTTCAAGAAAATAAAGTATAACAGTAAAACCAAATACATAACTGTTATACAATTGTAAACATACCTAGATAAGCAGTAAATTTGTCATTTTCATAAAAGAATCAAATGAGAATATAAATAAATTGTGAAGAAATTAATAATGCACAAAATTAAAAGACAAAACATCACACTAGATAAACATTTCACTAATAGGATTGAATATTAGGCAAAATTATTAAATGAATCAGAGTTTAAAAAAAAGCCGTTTAGAAAATAGATATCTTCATACTACTAGTACTACTACTACTACTACCACCAATAATAATAATGTTAAACATTGAAAGATAATTGTTTGCTTATAGTTACCCATCTTTATGTGCATGATTTACATACATTAAAAAAGAAAAGAGAAAGTGTAAGCTAATTTACAAGTATCAATGTGTACAATGAAGATTGGAAAGTAAGAAATAATAAACAAGTTAGTAATCATAATTATTGTATTTCAAATATATATAATTTATACATATAAATACTCTGGTATTACCTTTTCATTGAGATAAATTACATTTGACTATGTTTTTCATTCCAATCAGCAAGACGTTCTTCTAGACGATTAAGTTCCGTTTTCAAGATGGGTAAAGAATCCTTTGTATGAACAAAAAAAATAATGATAGTTAAATATTGCACATTAAGCGCTATATGAGTTATATTAAATAAAATAACTGTTTATTATTACTGAACAAGTTATGGTATTGTAGTGAACGAGAACATAAATGAGGACAATCAAATGTCACAGGTTGAAATCATGAATCAGTTGAAGCTAGACCACCATTGAAAACCTGGAAGCACTGGAGGGCCGTTTCGTCCTGGTATGGGACTCCTCAGCAGTGCGCATCCTGGAGTTCTAGTGAGAAGCCGTTACCAATGGAGTTCAACCGGTCTGTCGTGAGATAACAACTCACTGAAGACAATGGTGTACGGTGGCGCAACTTCGTGGATTGGTTGAAGTTAGACATTAACACCGTTGGATGCCGGCTCAGTGGTCTAGTGGTTAAGTGGTCGCGCGCGAAGCCAGTAGGTCCTGGGTTCGAGCCCCGCGTGGTGCAGGATCGTGGGTGCGCACTGCTGAGGAGTCCCATACCAGGACGAAACGGCCGTCCAGTGCTTCCAGGTTTTCAATGGTGGTCTAGCTTCAACTGACTCATGATTTCAACCTGTGAAATTTCTAAAACTCTCCACAAAACCCATTCTGATAACAATCAAATGTATTTGAACACAAAATTATAGAACATCTTAGTAAAACCTAAGAATCGTACAGTAGATAATTCATTTGCAACATGTCAATCAATCGTCTGAAACTTCACTGTTCCATAATTTCCACACAAGTTACTTACTATTCTCGTTCTTCCCTTCTCGATCTTCTGCTGCTAGACATTCTATTCCTGACTAGCGTTATATACTACTTATGTAAATATAAATAACACACACCACAGTATCAGCAGTGAGGAGAACACTTTGCTTAGTTTTTTTAAACAATTGCAAAATATTCCTGATAAGTCACATATCTAGTCATGATAATTTACCAACATCAATAAATTATCACTTATGCCTGTTTCTACCTTGTGGAAGCATAGGACCGGTAGTAAGACATGGAAAACCAATAAATTTCTTGAAACCACCAAAGCTTAACAGGTTTCTTTATTTCTGTTGCGGAATACTTTTGTTTATACAGATTTTGCGTTCATTCATTTTTAAGGGTTCGAATTTTACAGTCTTTGATGTTAAGGACTGAATTATCACCAATATCTTTTGGCGAATTCGCATCCTCAGCGGATTGTTTCAATATAACTATTAAGGCATAGGCATTTTTAAGTTAAGTTTTGACAGTGGCTAGCAATGGAATTCAAGACGGGCGCTTTGTCCTATTTGAGGCTCATCAGATGGATGTACCTGAATACTAGTGCTGACTTTCGAGCCAGGAATCGAACCTAGTGCATTTTACTTCAAACCTCTAACACATTATTCATTTAGCTACTGAGTCCAGAGACCAGGTTCATCCAGTTGACGAGTTCCAAATAGGAATAAACGTGTGTCCTGAATCTAGTAGTTAGCCAGAAAAGTAACCTAAAATAACTGTTCGAAAAAGGTTCACTAAAATTTGACGAAAGAGTAGTTATCTAAGTTCCATATTCCTTTTACTAATAGTGATGGACTAATGCAACACCGAAATAACTTCCTATAGATCAAGTTTATTGACCATATATAATGAATTTCACATTTTTTTTTTCAAGAAAAGAAAACACACCAAAACAATAAAAGATGTAAGTGATGAAGTATTCATTCTAATTTAAGACAAATAATGATCAAGTTATTAACTCACTTCAAGCTCTTTGACATAGATTTCTACGCTCTTAAATTGTGCATGATTACGCATTTCAAATATCCATTGTTCAACTTGAGAAATAATAAATGAACGTCGATTTAGAAAATGTTTTAAAACTACCTACAGGATGGAAAAAGACGTACATTCAATAAAAATTAATGTTATATTACAATGAGTGTACAGAAATTAAACTATGTAGGTGATTTCCCTGATGATGGCTAAAGCAATTGATCATTACTAGTAGAAAACAGTTGATGGAGAAGCTCTGGACGAGGTTCAAACCTTCAGGTACCTGGGAAGCATCATCGATTAACAAGGAGGATCTGATTGAGACGTAAATGCAAGGATTGGCAAAGCAAGGAACTCAAAACAACTATCAGTCAACATCAGTTAGAATCTTCAATACAAACGTCAAGACAGTTCTACTGTACAGAGCTCAAGCTTCGAGAACTACCACAACCATCATCAAAAATATACAAGTATTTACAAACAATTGTCTACACAAGATACTAAATGTCCGTTGACCGGATACCATCAGTAACTTCCTACTGTGGGAGAGAACAAGCCAGCTTCTATCTGAAAAGGAGGTTAGGAAAAGACGATGAAAGTGCATAGGACATACATTACGGAAATCATCAAACTGAATTACGAATAAAAAATGAACTTGAAATTCTGAAGCGAAGTTTTCAAAACTGAACCATTAAACTATCCATTCATGTCACTACAGAACTGCATCTACAAATTAGTTTGTGTCGATTGTAATGCCTTCTATATTGGAGAGTCATCTCACAAAATCTTGACTCGTGTCAAAGAACATACTAGGTACACAAAGAAACAGCCAAATGATCCCGTAGAACTGCACAGACTTCCAAGTAAATCGACAATAGCAGTTCATACCATTTTCAACGACCACCAAATCGATTTCAAAAATATCAAAATATTACAAAAGGGTTTTTCCAATTACAAAGAAAGGAGAGTAGCTGAAACGTTCCATATAATGCTTAATCCTACTGCTCTCAATAAAAATGAAGGCCTTACCGTACACCCTACTTGGACTATCTATCCTAGCCATCTAGTCTGATATTATTTACAATACACACTATCATCTTACAAATCAAACTCTATCATTTCTCACCATAAAGGTCAAACATTTTTCATCCTTAACAGTGCACACATACATACGCACAAATTTACGTACATGTCGCTTATGAATCACATTGACCGAAATGACATGACATTGATTTGTTCAGACCTGTTTTTTGATTGAGCACATAATATTCTTGTTGTTCCGTTGTACTATTTAACCGTGGATTAATTTCAGTTTGGTTATTTAGTCTCTGAAGAAGTGGCTTACACTAAGTCATGAAACGTCAAAAAACCTCGTTTTTCTACTCACTGGGATATTACAAATATATTATTTATTTATCCATTTTTAAGAAAAAAAAAACCCAAAATACAACTTAAAGATAACATTTATCATCAAGAGACTAACTGATAGTTGTAGGGAACTTCATTGAAAAGAAAGAAGTGAAATGAACATCTGTTTTATTTGAATTGAGAACTCTTTAACAGTAAGTATTTACTATCTTCATATAAAATCGACTATTTTCTGGTTGACTACAGTTATTAACACAACTAGTTATAAGTAATATAAAACCTAAAACATATATGTTGTTACACCATATTAATATAGAAAGATAGAAATTATCGAGACGAATTACAGAAGTTTCAGTAACAGAAAGAATACTAAAAAAAAAGTTGGTGACATTCCAGACTATTTTACGAAGTAATTCTATAATTATTAAATAACTGGAATATTATATTTCGATATTCAACTTTATTGTGAGTTGTTATTTGATCTGTTAACTATTGTTATACATTTTATTACTCTTAAATTATTGTTAACCGGTTATTTATCATTTATTTATTTCAACACATAGATATTGGTACAAGGAGGCACCAAATACATATGCGCCACACAAATCTCATTTGATATGTGTGAGAGCTGTGATACTGTCCGGGTGCCCGAACCGAACCACGTGGTTTTCTTAGGGGGAAACTCCGGGAGCCTCTAACCTAAACCTGAAGGTCTGATCCACAAGGCAGTGGAGCATCATAAGGAGATGCAGTCCCATGATAGCCGATCACCAACGATTGATTCATACGCTATTTGTTCCTTCAGGATACTGGAGCCCATGTGCACTATTGGTTTGGAATCAGGGTTTTCAAACTCCTCTAGGTGGACCCTCAATGTCCACCAACCCGGTTAAAACGACGGACATTCGCTTTCCGTCCTCTAAAGTTTGTAAACAACACCCCCGCCACGAGAAGGCAATGAGTAGGAATTCCCTGGCAGAGGCTATATACGCGTGGCCATGTGAGAGTATTTGGAGAGGGACAGCGGACTCTTTCCACTCTCGAACGTATGAGGGAATTTGTAGGCATTCATTTGCTCTATTCACTCTCACCTTTGCTTTTTTTATGTATAAATTATGATTTTTATTTTATGGTATGATGTGGTTCAGTAAACATGTATATGAACACATGTGTGCTTGGATTATAATAATGGAAGATTCCCAGCTACGTTCTCTTGTTGGAACTCAAGACTGAGGATAGAAGAAGGTATGGAGATCGGCGGACCAACAGGTGTTAAATTATCTTGTCAATCCTCAAGATTAACCACACTAGCCTGGGCATTTCATTGGCCAAGTAAAGTAGCTTTCTTGTAAGCGGATTGGTATATTAGTGATGAAAAAATCCAGGTTGCGGTTGGTGTATTTTTACGAGCCATCAGACTAAGGTGCCAGATAAGAGGTATTATAACAAATAATTACAGAATTGTTGGTAGCAGAAAAGATTTACGACTATACGATAAGATTCAAGAAAGAAGGAATTAATTTGAAAACTCAACATCTTAGAGAAGACAGTAAGTGAATATATCTGCATCATCACATAGATTGTAAGTCACATCGCTGAATATTCTCAGTTCATAGTTTTCGACAATCGCGTGGATTTCAATCGAGTTTGTGACGAAAAACAACTAATAAAATTTAAGCTGGATCTGTGCATCAACTATTCAACCACATACAACCATCGAATTTTTAGTTCTTTTAGAAATCTTAATACATAGGATTAAACAAAAAATGATAAGACTCTACTCACCTCTTCAAAACCAAGTGGTAAATGCTTTAATTGATTAATCATAGCCCAACGAACAGTTGCAACACGAATACGAGCATTATATTTATAACTGACAATTATGCCTTTAGGCGTTCCCATGGTACACTCGAAACCCGGTTCATTAAAATAAGGTTCACGTACGAAAATTAACGATTGAATTGATACTAATACCTGATAATAGTAATTGTAATAGTCAAATAATGGAATATAATGAGAACGAAATTTACAGTAGTCATACCAAATAAATCTAAATCAATAGTTTAAAATCAATCAAGGTGAAAGGTTATATCCCAGATTAATCCTCAAGTAGCATTTTACACTTGGAGGAAGAGAACCCCATCACAAACATGCTTCCGTTATTACTTAAAGTGGTCAGGAGACTAGGGATTCTGTCAGCGTCTTCACCAAATAGAGGTATGTCTACTGCTTATTCTAAGTTAACGAGTGAATCTCCTGGTAGAAGATCCACATCTGAAAAGTCAAACGATGATAAAAGTTTTATCTCTACAAGCATCCCTACAAAAAAAATTAAATAAAAGTGAGTAAAACGGACAACCCTGACGGACACTAATTGAAGTAACCAGTTCCGATGACAGTTTTCTATAAGCTCTGACTCAACCGATAGTATTTGAGTACAGAACCTGCATAAGGTTAATGTACTTCTTTCGGACGCTTTTCAATGAGAAACTGGCGCAGAAACTCACAACCAACAGAGTCGAATGCCGCCTTAAGGTCAAAGAACACAACTGTAGTCGGACGTCGAAAAGTATTTAAACGTTCTAGAGTCCGCCGAAGGGTGGATAGTTGATCTATAAATCCATGTTCACGTCTGAAACCAGCCTGGTTTTCTCAGGTTTGCTCTTCATGAACTCATTTAAGTATTATTCAGGTTAATATTTTAGATACAATATTGGTTAAACTGATTCCTCTGTGATTGTCACAAGAGGATTTTCATCCTCTCTTATAAACTGTGATGATCAGAGATTGAGACCAATCAGTTGGGAATATGTCCGGTTCCTAGATGTTAGCTAAAATTTTGTTAACCTAACTGCTAAAACTGAACCACCATTGTTACAAATTTCAGGGGTTAGTCCATCAGGCCCTGTTGCCCTTCTTCATTTTAGAGTGATTGTAGCCTTTTCAACCCCACTAAGATTAGGATGACTTACATCAATTTACCGTTCAGGTTATTTAGATATGGTAGGTAACTGAGGTGTGACTGAAGGTCAGTTGAAATGTTGTATAAAACTGGTAAACATCAGGTTATCATAAATTTTAGTTTGGGAATAATCAAATAATGTGATTGTTTGAGAAGCTTTAAAACGTTATTAGATAAAATCCAGAGTATAACCAAGTGCTGGTCATGTTACAAGCGGTTTCTTTCAATTTTTCCATTTTAAATATGGTGCATTCTTCTAATACTATAGTGTAATAATGAAATTATGATGGATATATATTTATTAAATTGAGAACTGAAAATAAAAGCATAACGTAGTTCGTCAACAACACTCAACAATAAATATGATATAGAGGTAAACGAATGATCTTTGATAGAAAGATATAAATGTCTCCAAGATTAGAACAATTTTCTAGACAACGATGCTAATTATACATTAATTGTACGATGTTATATAATATCAGATAATGAAATGACTTATTAAAAAGAAGTACTCTACATTAAATGAACTAATTTAGTGACAGTTTCAACAGTAATCCCGATTGACAACAGGAAATTGAGGGTACATCTAGAAGTCTTAAAAATTGAAAAATAAATAATAACCAGTGGAATTTAATTCATTTTTATTGATTGTTTGAAGATTCTCATTGATATTTAAGACTGCACTTTATTAGTCTGCTTTGTTAGCATCTATGTATCCTGTGTGGATTCCCTTAATATCACTATTATTTCATAAGCATTTATAAGTAGTGACGAATGGTGGGTGCCAGTGGAATCCAGCTCGCGCGTTTCGTCCTACTTAGGACTTGTCAGCTAGATGTGACTGAATACCAGGGTCCCGGAGTAAATATCAACTCTGGGATGTAGGTATAAATAAAACGCGCGTCCTGAATTCCATTGTTGACCACATTCCATCTATTTTACAGGAGTGTGTTTACGTCATTAATCAGAATATGACTCATATCCAATGCAACTACAAGAAATATTATTTAAAAGAGTAAATACATAAATATACATGTATGGAAAAGATTTAATTACTTGTAATAAACTTGATGTTTGAGGGTTCCATCGTTCTTCGCTTGATCCATGCCATGTATTCAGCACTGACAAGCATACTTTGCCATCTTCATACAGGTTTGGATTAAAACGGAATGTGTTTTTCGCTGTTGTACAAAATTCAACTAAAGGCGGTTGATTTGGATAATCTGGTGGTGTGTATATGTCAAATTCAAAACATCCATTTGCATATGGAGTATCAGGAGGTCCAGTAATTAGTGCCTAGTTTTTTGTTGTTAGTTGGTTAAAAATAAAAATAAAACAAAGTGAACATAAGTAATTGTGTTATGGCTTGAGATCGCTGATCGGTATCAAGAGTTAGTTATTTCTAGTGCCGTCAGAGGTGTGTGAACGGTTGTCACTTCCCGATTTCTCGTACTGTGAAAGAATATTTCTTCCTGAAGAACCTGAGAAGGATACGAGATTAGTATGGTGTTGGTGACCACATAATTTGAGGGACAACTGCTTGGGATCGTTCATACACGGTCCTATTGCGAGTAGCTCCGTACTGTTGAAATTTTACTGCCGCCGGCGGAAATCCTTGGGGCAAGATAAGGTGTCCTATTGCTACGGTCGACATTTTCTAAAACCTTCATTAAGTTATAGTAAGGCAGCATCGACAGGAATGTTGATTGTATGAAGAAAATACCCGTCCGACACTATACCTCTGCACAATCAGCAGCACAACATAGCCCTTCGACCATGAATATGTTGCTTCTAGTTTTGCCATTCTCTAACCAACCTACTTAGCAAGATAGAACCAAATAGGAACATGTTTTCCAGCTAGTATAGCTCAACTGGGTTATCACGAAATGCGGATGCGACCACTAAGTCAAGACAGTAAATTTAGTGATACCATTCAGCTACCAAGATCGAAGCTAGTGGAAAGAGGTTCAAATCTCAGACTTATTAGTTGAAAATCTAGTAAGTTAAACTTCGAGCCACAACATATTTATGCCAGGTTCTATAATGTCTGTGATTGATTAATTGAGAAATAATATCGATGGATGATGTGTAAAAAAACATATAAATGCATAACCTTCATTGATCAACAATCAATCACATTTTATATGAATAGTTTAAGAAAAAAAGACGAAACGTCATTCAGATTCATTGTTAGGAAAAATTTACCTTTAACAAACACAAATGATTTTCTTCACAGCAAATAAACACACTAGCATTTTCGGACAATGGTAAACTAGTATTCAATGTTACAATTTCTTGAGCGAGACGTTGCAACCGATGAAATGATCGATTTTTTGGGGTTATTTTCAATTGAGAACTAGTAGTGGTAGAAGTAACCGTTGACAGTTTATGAGATTGATCAGGATTTAGTCCAGAGGTAGAGGTGGACGCGGAATAAATGAATAATTTTTTTGTATTAAAACTATTAATTAAGATGAAACCTTCGTGTTGGGCACATAAATTCGCATATCCATGTGGGACTATTGAAGAAACAGTATTATTCACGGAAGGTGAAAAAAATTTGATCGTACCTAAACAAACAAAAATGATGTGTAAATTTCCATTAGATTTAGCAAAGAAAATAAAAATTTCTTACATATATAGTTTGCATGATTTAGGTATATGGTTATATCACATACATCACTAATCATTGTATACCTCTACCGTGTGGTATACGTTGAAAACAATACGTGACTCTTTTCAAGTTAAAACAAGAACTGGAAGAGAACAAGGTACATTCTAACAAACCTGAACAACAAAGATACATGAATAAAAACTCTGGAGGTTGAATATGATCTACATAAGAATCTTCGGTAAAGGTATGGTATAATACAGGGCTAAGCTTAACACGACCTTGACAAATTTTCAGCTAATTTCTAGTCAATCAGAAAACTGGTTTAATAAATAGACAGTTTATAAAAAAGTAAACAATAATATTACAAAGTATAAAAAGATTTTATATACTTAATAAGTTTTTTCAATGTCTTCTACAGGTTAATTTGCCGGAAATCGAAAAAAAGCAACATATAGACTCAGTAATTTGCATATAGACTAGTCCTCTTTTTGAACTCTTAAAATAGTCCAAACACATTTTTAAGAATTCACATATTGTTCATAGTAAAGGTTAGGTATTTAGGGTTAGGGTTTTTATCACGAACTGGCATCAGCTATAATTTAAAAATGTTTAGTAGACATATAGATGAATGAATTTCGCTCGAAAATACACGAGCAGTTATATGATTAGTTTTTTTTCGTAAAACGTAGCCTCATTAGGCTATGGTTTTGTTCTCAATTTTTATCATGAATACTCTATTTTTGACATACTGCATTTTCTTAATGATAGTGGATTGTAGTCTAAATGTTCACATACTTAAGCATATACGTTTTTGAACTGGAGACACGTTCTGATGCAGATAATTGTACTACTACCATCATATGGTCTTTATTTTTTTTTGGAAAATAGTTATTTCCAGAAGGGGTTTTGTGGAGATTTTAGAAATTTCACTGGTTGAAATCATGAGTCAATTGAAGCTGGACCACCATGGAAACCCTGGAAGCACTGGCGCGAGACTGATAGGTCCTGGGTTGGAATCTCGCGGGGTGAGGGATCGTGGATGCGCACTGCTGGGAAGTCCCATACTAGGACGAAACGGCCGTCCAGTGGTTCCAGGTTTTCCATCGTGGTCTATCATCAATTGACTCATGATCTCAACCAGTGAAATAGTTATTTGTTCAGACAATAACCGTCTGGATAATATATTACTAGTCAAGCCATTAGGATAGTTCTTCCCCAAGACCAAAACTAGTATATTGGTAATTTACAAGTTAAATTTTCTTGCATATCTAATGTTAGGATCAGTAGATGGCAGAGCTCATCACAAATTCCGTAAGTGAACTTCATTTTTTTATATTTCGTACGATCGACGCAGCAAAAGAATATCTACTCAAATTCTCCATAAAAATAACAGAACGTTAGATGAATAAAAGTCGTAATCAACTTATCATAACTCATTCCCAGTTACTTAACATTTGTTTTTAGTCAACAAAAAATAAACGAGCTGAAAGAATAAGCTCACAATTAAGAGTAGATAAATCATTTCGAAACAATCATACAGATAAAGTCTTGTTGATGATGTTTATCCACATTTCATTCTTTCATCCAGACAATTGTAATGACTAATAAAGCTATGGTAACATCAAAGAGATATGGAAATTATAATCACTATTTTAATATAATCTCTTAAATAGGAGTAGAATTATGTACTTTCCCTTGGAATAATACTCTTTTATGTGTGAGGGTAAGTGATACTACTATTAAACAAAAACATGAAAGGAAATAAGTGAATTAGTGATTTAAACCTTTGAACCAAACTAAGCCGCCGTTCGACTGCGTTGTTTATAACGTAAAATGTGTTCAAAAAGTTACATTACTCGTATTTAATTTACACCAAGTATTTTGTTAAAATATCAAGTAAAATAGTCCAATCAAGCTAACTGTTTGGTTTTATAAGATAGTGAAGGGTTGATTGAGTGGTTAGAATGTTTGACATTCAAGTGCCAGAGTAGAAGCTTGGTAAGTACTCTAGTCAGTCATTCATACGTAACGTAGAGTTTGGTACATGTCTACATTCGTTCAGGTTGTCACATTCCATAAGCATAGCGAGATGAAATTATCAAGGCAAATCCCAGAGTATTAGGTAATAACAGCATTAGCAGTAACAGAAAAGATTGAATTTAGAAGATATGATTTAAGAACAAAGTATGGATCCGTAGAATTAGAAAATTTATAAGGTAGTTAGGAAATTCGAAATCTGAAGTAGAACTACGGGTGAATGCCTCTGGATTATTGTAGCCACATCGCCCAAAATGTCTGAAAATTGGTTACAACAATCGCGCGAACCGCTATTCGGTAATCGGCACCTACCTATATGGTTCAGTTCAATAGTCAGTGACTTAAAGAACCAGTGTCATGTCTTGATTCAGCTGCTTCTAGCTTTTTTCTAACCTACTTCTATACCAGACAACATTGCCCATCGACGTCATCGGTGGTTAGTCATACGCAACACACGTCCTGATCATCTTAATCGACAAAGATAAGCTAGCTCATCAGCCGACTTTCCATTCTTATCTAGTACCCTACGTCTAACCTCAAAACCGCTAACTTAATGGTTAAAGGATATACGAGCAATGCTTCAAAGACAATACCAGTAACTTGGGAATATTTTCTATTTTTGAAATGTCATGCTTCACAGCAATAAAGTAGAACGGAAAGGACTGTAGCGCAGTATACTCGTTATTAAAAGCCAATCCAGCTTTCTGAACTAATACCGATATTTCGTCAGATACCTACTCATCAGGGCAATGGCATTAGAATTCATACGAAAACTATAAAGACATAATCTTGTTTGTAGTCGCCAACTTACAGAGTACTGATAATTAATTCAGTGTTTCAATTACAAAAAAACATTTAATAAACATTGATTTATTTAATTAAAACAAAGAGTCATTGGCTACTGAACTTACGAAAGTGTAGAGATTTTAAAGCTGTACAATAAGCATTATTGGTTGAAAGCATTTTTGAATTAATTGATGAAGTTTGAATCTGTAGTGTACCATTCCTATCACTGCTGTTACCATATTCAGTTGATCGTATTTCATGTAAAGTAGTTTTGCAATCATTATTAGTAAATTTATCTTCCTCATTATGATGACATTTATTCATCATTATCAATGATTTATTTCCAGAGCATTGTTGATATTTCAAAATTAATTTAAGCAGTTTATATGTGGTTTCTAGTTCATTAAAAATGATGAAAATCTCTTGATTTACATATGTTGAACTTCTATCACTGTTGAATTGATGGTTAGTACTTTCAGCATTATCATCCAATATATCATTTTGAAAATGACTATGAAATTCACCATTTACAAGATTATTCTCTTTACTAATCGATTGAGAATGATTAGCATTTTCAGTTAAATCTTTAATAACCTCACAATGAATATTTCCGTTTTCGTCCTGTTCTCTTTCTACCTCGGAATGAATATCATGAACATTTTCAGAAGCAGTGTTAAGATTATCATCGTCATCACCACAGTTGATCTCAACATTACTTCCTATTAACGTATAAAGTTGACCTCTGTCTTCACTACTCATTTGATTAGTATTACTGTCACTAACATCGAAATGATCATAGAAACCAGATTTCAGTTGTAATAAACCATAGGTTTTAGAAGTTGTACAATGAGAATTATTAATATCAGTAGTCTTGAATGTTTGGGATGATTTATACACGTTTTGACTTTTAAAATGTATATTTTTTAGTAAATTTTCATTAATGTGCTGTTTATGAAAATTACGATATCGTATTGATGAACGGCGAATAAGACCACCACTACTAATATGTGTATTAGTAGGACTAGTTGAGTGTAATTCAATGTTGGACTTAGAGGTAATTTGTTTTGACGGTTGCTCCGATTCAGACGACTCAATTATCAATCCCAATTTGCTATTTAAAGACAGGGAGGTGAATGGAGAGAGATAAAAACAGCAAGATGATTTAGTCTCGCTTCGATTGCAAATTTAGAAAGAAAGGAATGCTCAATAATGATATGATGAAATAGTTATTACAAATAAAGTGTAATTAACGTAAACTTGATATTTGAAGTGGATAGTCATCGTGCAAAGCTGTTAGTTGTTGAAGGCAGTCGACAGGTAACTCTGGAAATAGATCATACTATGAAATGAGTCCGAATTCGCAAAGGTAACATGAATTTCCTTAGGATTCCAGGTACAGATTTTTAGAATGTCAACCGACATAAAACCTAGAGTGAACAGGGTCTTCTGTCGATGAAGTTCAATCATTCCACATTGTTTAGGAGACGTCGGTTAACTAGTAACCACGTTACAAGTTGCTTGGCAGAATTCAATCAGAGCTAAAGAACTAGAGAAACGTGACATTGATCACCATTCAGTTTTAGTATCTGTGACCTTTAATAGCTATTGGATCTATCATTTTTGAAAAAAATTTGGCTGTAGGGGACCACAATAATTATTCAAAAGCTCCCCAGAATGCAGGAAGAATGCTATGAATACTTCTTCGGAAAATTACAAGAAAGGTTTGAAAAGTGGTTAACTACCGAATTGGGAAAAGAAAAAACAGGAGAATAATATTGTTTTCAATTAAACCGTCATGAAGTTTTACTCAAATATGGAGCTACATTTTTGCCAGTTTATTTTGAAGTTATCGATTTAGCTGTTCTTGCGTCAAGTATACTACAAAGCGATTCAGTCAACAAGTGAATGAATAGTTCAGAAAGACACAAAGCTCTGTTCTATCACACAATTGACTGTGATAATCATATGGCAGATAAAAGCAAATCCTTACAAATGATCAAATCTACAATACCACACCTCCGTAACAGGGTTTAACCTCTTGTCATACATAAAGCAAAAGTCATGGGGATTTGAACCAACCCTAATCTGTGTTTTACCTCTATCACTTCCTTGAATTGATACGATTTGATGGGTGATTTGACTAATTACTCATACCATTACGTATCTGTTTTTTACTGCTTATAATCATAACTTACCATGGATAATGTGTATTTCGTGTCATTACTACCATTGATTCAATTAGATTACCTTTGGCTGGTTTATGTTTCACCTATAAGTGTACCGATATTACTGTGTATTGAAGTCTAGTGGAAATCTAACTAAGAACAATAACGTCCAATTATATATCTTGTTTTAATTTGTACAATTAGAATCTGTAATACTTTAAAACTATTAAATTCATTGCGGATTTCAGTACATTTTTTCAAGAAGTACATAGAATCTGATAAGCACTTCTATTTCTTCTGAATGAAGTTTAATCTTCGAAATACAACTTGTATATTATCCGTCTAGTATTTTCTTTCTTCTTGTTTATTGATGAAAGGTTTTAGTGGCACGAGATCTGATTCCAGTTAGATTGCTCGAATGATTGTTATTGAATCATATATGTCACCAATCCTCATATATAATCATTGAGTTAGTAAATAACGGAATTAAATAAGTGAAATACGACAATAGATTTCTGAGTACATATATTTCGTACAATCGTTGATCGTAAAGCGAAACTAAACGAAATGACACGCAATGAAGATGACGAGTGAGTCAACCCCGTTTAACCAAGTGTGAATCGATATTTATAGTCGAACAAAAATAAGTTACGAACATGTGACGAGTAAGATTTAAAAAATCCACACATACGTTTACATAAAAACAATCAAGGTTGATAAGAGAATAATTAACAAAGAGAAAAATATGCCTGAAGTAGAATGAATAAATTAACCTGTCGGCTTGATATAGCAAGTTGAAGATTTCTAAAAACTAGGATGTGATACTTCAAACACTAATCTTTCCGATTACTAATTATACTTTTATTACCTACCTCTTACTTACGCCTAATGGAGCACAGGCCGGCGACCAGCATTCTCCAACACACTGTGTCCTGAGCCTTCCTTTCTAATTCCATCCAATCCTTGTTCAGTTTTCTCATATCTACCTCCATTTCCCGGCGTAATGTGTTCTTTGGTCTTCCTCTTTCCTTTGGCCTTGAGGATTCCATGTGAGGGCTTGTCTTGTGACGCAGTTGGGTGCTTTCCTCAATGTGTGTCCTATCCACTTCCAGCGCTTCTTCCTGATTTGTTCCTCCGCTGGGATCTGGTTGTTCTTTCCCACAGTAGGTTGTTGCTAATAATGTCCAGCCAACGGATCTGAAGTATTTTGCGTAGACAACAGTTAATAAACACTTGTATTTTCTTGATGATGGCTTTCGTAGTTCTCCAAGTTTCCGCTCCATACAGTAGAACTGTTTTGGCATTTGTGTTGAAAATCCTGACGTTGGTGTTGGTTGACAGACAGTTGTTTTGAGTTCCAGATGTTCTTCAGTTGTAAATATGCTGCTCTTGCTTTACCGATCCGCGCCTTCACAGCTGCATCAGATCCGTCCATGTTCATCAAGGATGATATGCAAAGCTTCTCTGTCAAGTGAGATTCAATTGGTACATGTTATGTTGTATCAAAGAATCTTGATTTTTCCTTTGTGTATGTTGAGACCTCCGCCTAGAGTCTCTCCGTGGGCTACTGCCGGTCCAAAGCTCGGATAAAGGAGGAGGGTTGGGCATGGGTTTAGCGATACCATCCCGTAGAAAACTAACTCGCTAAAAAACCGCTAACCAGAAAAAATTACCTATCTCTACCACTGTGGGATTTGAATAGACAATTGTATCCCTGTGCTAATGTGGTATGGCAAATTGAACTGATGCACGTACGTACGTACGTACGTATGAAGTTTTATACTGTTGCTAACTGATTCATACTTAAATACTATATTTTTTTCAGGAAAAACCCCTTTCAACTTACTTTAATTGTTCTTTATATTTTGACAAGTAGAATATTATATGTCTCACTAAGACAATAATACATGATGAATTTAAATTCTCCACTAAACTGTCATCGTTACCATCATCATCATCAACATAATTATTATCATTCAAATTAATATTTTGCCAATAGAATTGAAATGAATGAAATGATTGTAAAATGAAACATTGATATAAATTATCACTATAATGAACAAGATTATGATTGTTTAAATCACTTTGAATCATTGTTAATAACCAATGTAATCGAGGACATAAAATAATTATACGAATTAATTGAAATATTGATTGATATAATGAATGACGATTAATTATTTCTGTGATAGAATCATTACGTAAATAATTAATGATAAATTTAATTAAATTAAATTTGTGAATAAAATAAATAATAATTAATTCGAATAATTGATCAGTATTAATTAAATTTTGCATAAATGTAGAAAAAAATCCACTCAATGTATTACATAATATAATTGCATATTGATCTTCACGTTGAATTTTTGATCGGATCCATTTAGATTGAAAATTATGATTATTATTATTTGAATGATCATTTATAATTGATGCTTCATTTATTGTAGGAGTTGTAGCAAAACCTGTACCTTTTGCCCATAAATTAGAATTTATTTTATCAGATATTAATCCAGATGATGAAGGTATTGCATTGAAATTAATTTGAGATGATTGATAATTTGTGTTTTGTTTACACTTTTTATTATTATCTTGATTAGATACTGTGACTGAAGGAAATAATTCACGTTCAAAATCTATACAAGCTGGTTTAATAAAATGTATATAAAGTTCATTGATTGATTGAATAGTTAGCGATAATGAATCATCTTCATCAATATTATTATTACAATCTAACTGAATTGAATGAATAAATGTTTTCACTTCATTCACATCAAATCTTTGCGGTAAATTTACACATGAACCATGAGATAAAACATACATGAAACTTAAAATAAGCTGTAATACACCAGAATTTAAATGTATCCAACGTAGTTCCCATAGAGATTGATGACCATTACCACGAACATTACGATTATCATTATTATTATCGTATAAATAACATAAACATTGGAATGGTAAAATATTTGAATGAATTAAATTACTACTTTGTAAATTATAAGTAGGATAATTATTTATATCATAATTTTGATTATCATTTGCCCATAATGATAAATTAGAATATTTATTAGCTAATTGAATTAAATAACTTGGTAGATAAACTAAATTTAACTGATATTTAATTATCAATTCCATAATTTTCATTGATGATTGAATTAAGTTTAATAAATTATAATCATAATCTGTTATTCTTAATAATAATATATAAGTAATGATACAATGTATTGGCAGAATCATGTTCATTGTTTCAATATTATTATTATTTACTGGAATGGATTGATAATTATTAATTATTAAGTGATCCAATTTATAATTATAGAATTTATTGGGAATATTTATTGAAAATTTATTAAAATAGAAAGTAATATAAGAATGAAATTGTCTTACAGATTGATTCCAATTATTATTATTATTATTATTATTATTATTATTATTATTATTATTATTATTATTAGTAGTAGTAGTAGTAGTAGTAGTAGTAGGAGGAGGAGGAGGAGGAGGAGGAGGAGGAGGAGTTTCTAATGATGATAAAATAGAATTTCCTTTTTTTGTTGTACATTATTTAATAAACATGGAATACGCCAATGAACAATAGAATTCGCTATAAAATGTAATAGACCAGATTTTAAAAATTCACATATAAATGATGATTGAAATGTTTTTAATAAATAATAACAAGAAGGTGTGGAATTAGTCTCTTGAAATTTTTTATTAATGATGATGATGGTTCAGTTACTGCTTTTGGTGAATGAAATACAAATTTAGCATGTTCACATGGTCGAATTAATAAACAAAGTAGACGAGACTGATTAATCACAAGTGGATGATCATCAGTGAATTTATTCAATTGTTCCATAGTCCAATTATCTGTATAACCTTCTGGTAAAAATATACCATTATCCCAATCAATAGGTGATATAATATGACCAATATTTGGTGTATGTTGAATAAGACATAATTCAAAATCATTCATTGTATTTATTTCAGTTGAACTTGATACATTTCTGTTGATACTACTATTATTAGTAGTACTACTAGTGCGATTCATTGTGAACGGATGCAATAAATGATAAATTATTAATCTTAAATGTTTCACTAAAATTCTTCTTTCAAATTCATAATGATTAGTCCCAGTGTATTCTGGTGGATGATAAATATTGACCAATAATAAAGCTGTTGAAAGACTAGGATGAATGGAATAGTCTAAGTTATTATTTGAAACAGACTGATGGATTTCTCGGCATAAAAATGTAACTAATCCAGACTTAGGGAGTTCAGATGACTGAATATTGAATTCAACTGGTGGACCAGTTACAGGCCATGGCAAATCAGTCGATGCGTGTGGATGATTTGAAGTGACTGCGAATACTGCAATTGTTTGTTTAAATGGTATAGGTGTTAATGATAAAGGTTGTGCCAATAATAGTTCAGATATAAAATTGGATAGTTTGAAATCTACAATAAAAATAGATTTAAAAAAATCAAATTAACTTATTCATCAGGTAATAAAGTATTAGCCACACTCAAAATGTAAGGGGTAATGATAGAAACTGACTTCCAAAAGAGTGGTGTGTGAAGTGGGGTTCGAACCTAAGAATTAATGGCCAACAGTCGAATACCTCAAGCATTAAACCACCACTCCAAGTAAAGTAACATGAAGAGAGTTTTTCATATTTCAAAGAGAAAAATATATTTATTTATCTTAACACATAGATATTGGTACAAGGAGGCACCAAAGACATATGCGCCACACAAATCTCATTTGATATGTGTGAGGGCTGTGATACTGCCTGGGTGCCCAAACCGAACCACGTGGTTTTCTTAGGGGGCCACACCCGGAGCCTTCGACCTGAAGGTCTGATCCACAAAGCAGTGGAGCATCGTAGGAGATGCAGTCCCATGGTAGCCGGTGACCAACGATTGGTTCATATGCCATTTGTTCCCGCAGGATACTAGAGCCCATGTGCACCATTGGTTTGCGATCCGGTTAAAGCGCCGGACATTCGCTTTTCGTCCTCTCATTTTCGTAAACAACACCCTCGCCACGAGAAGGCAGTGAGTAGGACTTCCGTGGCAGAGGCTATATACGCGTGGCCATGTGAGAGCATTTAGAGAGAGAGAGCGGACTCTCCCCACTCTCGGCCGTACCAGGGCATTTGGGGACGGATCAGTTTATGGTGTCATATACCACCGCAGGAAATGAAAATAATTAATAATAATGAAAAAAAGAACCAATAGTATGGACAAGAAGAATAATTTAGATTGAGAAGAGAAGATAAATGAGAGAATGCTTATTTTTACTCTGTCACAATCAAGCCTTATCTGAACCAGTAGTAGAAATTTCACTTGAGGTGTTTAGAAGACACAGCATATCGGTTATCAACAAGTTACACTAACTGACTCAGTTATTAATGCCATTTCTGAATTTAATTTTGATGATGTAGCAGGTGTTATTTTCGACTAATGGTCCACGAAATATAAAGATCTGTTCCATATTAATCGTTGCAGACTAGATGACTCTTCAAAAACCAAAATACGTTTAAGAAAGCTTAGAATGACAGAACATGAACGCTAGATTATCTTCATTCTTTCAAAGAACTCACGGGACTTAAGTATTGGTGAAGCAATCAAAACCTTGTTTCAGATCTTTAGAGAAAAGTCATCTCTTGTTAACATCCGTTACCAATGCTTGAAGAAAACGAAAGGATCCAAAGGTGACTGAGTGAAACATTCAGGAATTATGATCCGAGAATATTAGGGGTTCAAGTTGTCTTCCGTGACAGAAGACCAGTTTGAATGCCTCATATTTGTCTGTAGGCCACATTTAACCGAGGATGCTGACATATGAACGAGGACCCTAAGCAAACTCGAACACTGTCCCACGATTACCCACCAGAAGGTAACTACCGAATACCGAATATTAGTGAATTTGAAACACGACACGGTAGAGAAAGGTAGCCGGCCTTATTACATGAACACAGTCGAGAGAAAAGTTTTGCAAGGTCGTAACACGCAAAATTATTGTAATGACAGAGGCAAGCCATCATCCTCTATGCTGGTTACGTGGCGGTTGACATTTCAAAAAATTTTGTCCGTTTAAGAATCATCGTTGCACTACAAGTCATTGTAAAAACTGAAAACGTTGCCAATAACCGAAAGTATATTCTAAAAGGTTCAAGACGCAAACAGCCAAGGTAACGATAGCTCTTAACAGGACCGGCTCCTAAAACCGTAGAAAACATGTTTCTCTGAAGATCAATGGATGTAATGGTCAATTACATCTAGATATGGCTTCCGACATAACATTTATAAACAGAAGAACGTGGGAGAAGATTGGGAGACCACAAATATAACCAACTTATCAATCAGCACTTAGTGCATCCGGGGGAATGTCAACCATTGCCGGTGAGATACATTGTAGAGTCACAGTCGTGGAAACAACAGAGAAGGAAGCAATATTTTTGACAGAACTAACCATATAACTAGTGTAAATCTCTAGGGAAAAAATTAGGTTTCGAAGGTCTGAATATAATCCATGCAATAACCTTATATCGTCTAGTAAACAACGCATTCTAAACAGATACTTAAACTGAATGAAAAAAGAATAAACAGATTATCAATGTGATATTGACCATGATTTAATCATACTCACTTTGCTTCATAAATGATTCTTTAAATGTTTCAATCAAACGATCAGTTAAACAATTCATTTTCAACTTTGAACTTTCTAAATTCAACTGACATGAATTAAATTGTTTAGATGATTTTGAAAATGGCATTGATAATTTAACTGTTTGATACAAAGTAATAATAGCTTGTTGAAGTTGATGAATCTCATAAACACTTGAACCAAAATGATTATTATACAAATTATTCAATGATATAGATTGATATAAAGATGATGATAATATCATAGTAAAATAAGAAAATACACTTGGAAATAAATGTTCACAGATTAATTGTCCAAGAATAATTCGTAATATTGTAGATTGATTTGATTGCATGAAATAATTTAATATATATAAATATCTAAGAGCTGAATCAATGGTAAGAATTGATCTAGTGGAAGAATATAAAGAAGAAGATTCAGAATTATTCATGATTGAGAAATAATCTGATAACCATGTACAACAATTATAAAAGAAGTTATCTGATATAAATGGATCTGTTGTATTTATCGATTTATTAATTGAGAAAATAGAATAAACAATATGATCTGATGATAGAATTGAACTGAATACTTTCAATTGACTATTGAATAACAATTTATCATATTGATTAAATAATGAATGTGTTGTAGGAATTATTAGAAGTTTTGATAAAAGTATAGAGATGACATTTGGTTGGATTGTACACAAAGAGCATATTAAATTGATTAGTACTTTGGTAAATTGTTTAATTTCAGCGATTAAGTTCTTAGGATTATCATCATCAATATCATCCATAGATAGGTCAATTTGATAATGTTTTATAATTGAGATGTATAAATCATAAATAGAACTGAAAAAGGTATTTTGAAAGAATAAAAACAAAAAGTAGAGAGAGAATTGAATAATGTCGCATTATAATATATGTGGATTTAAAGTTTATAAATTTAAAAGAATTACTATAACTCATTTACTAACCACAGATTAGTATTACTGGGGTTTTAAGCCGGAGCGTTTGCATGAAAAGATTAGCAAAACTATCGAAATCCTCAGTGCAGTGAGGTTTGAAACACCAAGAATTGGCTTTACTAAACTCTAGTGTGTCAATTTTTCTAAGATGTTATACAGATTTAAAGCTAAAAAGTTCAGTAGATCTTTTTAATCAATAGATTTTGATTAGCAGTGGAATCTAAGAAGCGCATTTCATTCTGTCTGAAACTTTTCAACTGGATGTACCTACATCTTAGTGTTGATGTTTAACAGTGAAACTAGAACCCAGTACCCACACATTATCTAACGAGCTTTTGCAACAGGTATGATACTCATATGAACAACGGGATGATTTAAACACTAATTAATAAGATAATGAAGTTTGAAACAAAGAGTAATGAGTTCGAGTCATTACTGTCATCTGACTTACCAAACCAATTTTGACATATTATATGAGTTTGCCTTATATACTATGTGGTTTAATCAGTTTATCATATTTACTGATGATTCCTAGAATTAACAACAAGAAATAACCAAAACAAGAAGTAAAACTTCCACACTTTACCAAATACATTCAATGAAGTACTCAAAGGGTTTTATTTAAAAACTGAAGAAGAACACTTGAAACTTTTAAACAAAAAAACTAGTCCAACGAAATCTTTTTTCATCTACATTTTAATTGTAATAAATCATACCTAATAAAATCAATTGTCACATATTTTTGCCATAAATTTGAACATTGATTCATTTCTATTGCTGTAGTAGTAGTAGTAGTGGTAGTAACACTACTTAAACTCCATAAAACACTTGAAAAAATCAATATTAATTGAGACCAATGATTCAATAATTGACGATTATGAGAAAGAATATCTTGTTTTATCATAGATTCATTGAAGTGACTTAACCAATTAATGATTCGTTCAATACGTGTAGATTGTCCAGCATCTTGATGTAAACATAACCATGCAAATAAACGTTGATTTGGTGTAGATGTTAGTGAAGCTAATGGACCATACCAATAAGATGAATTGAATTCATTATCTATATCTGTATAGTCATAATTTAAGCACATACACATGCACACAAAAGAAAAGAATTAATACATCATTAAGTAGTATATAGTTTGAAATGTTGATTAATAGTAGTTATTTAGATGAACATGATGAGATATATCAATAAAAGCCAACTAAGAAACTGTCGTGAGATTAGTCTGACTTCAAAAGATTGGGTTTATAATGAGTGGATGAAAATAGTTCTCCTCTATGCCTACAAAACCTGGCCTCTTCGAGTTAATAATGTTCGACGACTCTTTACATTTAACCATTGTCGTCTCCGAAGAATACCTGACATCCGTGGCAACAGAGCGTTAGTAAGTCTGACATTAGATAAGATTATATGGGGGGAGCGGAGTGTCGATAATTCAATTAGTATCATCATCTCAAAACACTGACTTCAATGGCTTAAACATGTACATTGTATATTATTTCCAGATGCTAGGGCTGGAGGAGACATGATATGAAAGGTAAGTGTACAGGACTGAAATCCGTCAGTTCACTAAAATTTCTCATCGAGAATCATAGAGATAGTGCAACTCAGTGACTCAGGATGAAAACCAGTGACGATTCAGCTGTCAATAGGTAATATTGAACCTTATAACAGGGAGAAATCTTAGTTGTATATTTAGAAAAACTGTTACTCTAAATAAATACTATTTCTATCCAATTCTCTATTGATTGTACTACCAATCCGTTATTTGTTTCTTCAAAACATTATCATTTTATTTGTATGACACGTTTTTTTAAAATATCTGGTTGTGGCGGAATTTACAAAAAGTAGACAATGTTAATAGGAGTGATTGCTGATAAAAAAAATGTATAGGAATGTAGATATAATTTCTAATTTATTTTCAAAAATAATGCATAATGTAAATTCATTTGTTGTTAGTTAAGCACAATTACTTATGAGTAGTATTTCGAAAAGTGAAAGTTATTAATGCCAGATAACTGATGAAGTAATTATCTCTACTGAAAGCATATAGGTCCTGATTAATTTTACATAATACTAAATTAAAATTGAATACCTGGAACAGACAGTAATTCTACTAAGTGAAAGGTAATAGAAAATAACATATTTACGGTAACTTATATCCAATTAAATACAAGATCCAACAACAACAACAACAAACATAGAATAACCTAGTGGTGGTATCGCAGACTGTGAAGCAGAGTTCGAAAACACCAAGAAGCATTAGTGTAGGAATGGCTTACTGACGAGCGACAACTAGCACAATACCAGGATTTCTTTCCGATTACACCTTCAACCATCTAACATTTCAATATAGTACACGTGATTTTGAGTCGCTTCGACTAGTAAGCATATGGTAAATTGATCGACAGAATTCGATCAATACTACGAACTAAGCAAACATGATATTGGTCACTATTCCGTGATCAGTTAAGGTAGAATTTAATCCAAATGTAGTAAACCTGGAAGATGTTAGTAACACAAGAGTAGATATTGATTAGTGATCACATGTAAGCAACCGCTAATTTATTTAAAAGTAGCAATATAAATACGAAGTTCCAGTGAAAAAAGTAATATACTTAAATGTTTGAAATATACACTACTTATGATTTTATTACTAAATATAACGAAATTAATTTGTAAATAACAAGATAAATGTTACTGCTGACACTGATCCATCACAAAGTACGAGACAATGCTATGCTGTTTGATCCAAAGTGCTAATCTAAATGCAACGCAATCCATGGGCTATGACTTGATATCGTTGCAAAATTTACTCTGGTCTTAGTTAGCCAAAGACAATTAAAAGGAAGTTTTGAATTTACATTTCTTGGTAGCTGGTATTCATTACCACGGTATGTCTATAATTTTGAGAAAGTAAATACAATTGAGTTCAAATGAAATTCGATCGACAAAAAGCAGCTGATGATATTATATTGGTTAGTATTAAATGGCTGACTAGTATAAACATCTCAGTCAAACAGGAAGTTAGTAGCGGTATGAATTATCCAGTGTTATATTTCTGACCGTGACATGGAAATAAACCCTACAAGAAACATTCATCCCTACAAGCTTACAGGTATCTCATGTCAATGAGTATTGAAATCTAGATGGTAAAGCTAAATGCCGTGTATCTATGATCATGAAACAGATTAATTCGAAGCTGTTAAGAAAATTAGAAATGACGTCACCTATACAACATCATAAAAGATCAACGTAGTGTCCTGGCATAACAGTAGAACAATACCTATTTGTGTAACTGAAAAAAATGCAAACTAACCCTGATTTGATTTCGACACACTTGTGAATGATACATCTTCACAGTTTATTGTTAAGTCATCGTCGTTATTACCATTTAGTAATTTGGTTAATATATAATTAGCAAGACTATTTCTACTACCATTATATGTATTAACCAATAATCCAAGTAAAATACGTTCACACAATACAGCTGATGAAGGACATAATTTCCAAAACATATCAGCTTCATTAATATAACCGATAGGTGAATAAAACCATTCATTTTGTAATATCTTATTTTCATTATCAGATGAACAATCACTGGTAAAATTATATATATGACTGATCATTTCAAAAATTTGATTATGACATGCAACCATTTGTATTAATTGACGTGTACACATTGATAATTTTTTATCTGAACTAACAATATGTAAACAGTGTAATAATGAATTGATAAATTGATATGAATAGAATATATTTGGTAATAATTGTGAAAGCATTTCATTATGTAACAGATGTAATAAAACAATTGGTCTGAGAAGAAGTAAATAAAAAGAAACAAGAGAGAAAGATTTTAAAAAATGTAATTAAGTGATCGAACGTAAAAACATGACAATAAATTAATACTAATTGCAGATATTAGTAGTACTTACATAACATTTCATGTGAGGCAATATATTTGTTGTAGTTAGACTAAAATAATAAAACGTCTTTAATAGTATAAACCAATATTTGAGTTAAAATTAGGTATGAAAGGTGATTAAGAAGCAGACTAAAATTAACTCATTATAGTTGAGTCTTCAAACTCGAAATTTATAATTGAAAGCTGAATGTGTTGTATGACTACTGAACAATCACTGTTCTGTCCTTATGAACAATACAAGCATATATACACATAAGGTAGTATAGGTTTGATTTTTTCCAAAGGAAAGATTTAAAATGAGTTGATCACTAAGCTGTAATCAATGTCATATTCGTCTTATCCTGTAGTGTTGAACGAGAGTGGGGTGGGCCCTTTCTCCCTCTCGAAATGCCCTCACACGACCACGCGTATACAGCCTCTGCCACGGAAGTCCTACTCACTGCCTTCTCGTGGCGGGTGTGATGTTTACGAAATTGAGAGGATGGAAAGCGAATGTCCGTCGCTTTAACCGGGTTGGTGGACATGGAGAGTCCACCTAGAGGAGTTGGAAAACCCTGATTACAAACCAATGGTGCACATAGGCTTCAGTATCCTGAAGGAAAAAATGGTGTATGAATCAGTCGTTGGTGACCGCCTATCAAGGAACTGCATCTCCTTATGATGCTTCACTGCCTTGTGGGTCAGACCTTAAGGTCGAAGAATCCGGGTGTGGCCCCCTAAGAAAACCCTCTGCTTAGGTCTGGGCACCCGAGCAGTATCACAGCCCTCACACATATCAAATGAGATTTATGTGGCGCATATCTATTTGGTGCCTCCTTGTACCAATATCTATGTGTTAAAATAAATAAATAAAATAGTAGTGCTGAACGAATTCAATCTGTCAAGTTTTGATGTAGCCACTAGTCTTAATGTATCAAATAGCTTAGTGATAATAACTCTGACTGTGAACTTAGGTGACCCTGGTTTAAATTCCACACTCAGCAAACCAGTTTTTTGAAGACTGTATGTACACCTTACTAATGAATGTATACAAGTACGATACCAAGTTCGAGTACAGTTTTCTGTCGATTGCCCCAAACCATTTAACAATTACAATCCAAAGTGATTAACTATCGAAATATGGATCACTAAGTACCAGTGTTCTGAGGGTATTGTATACTTGTAGCTGTGTAAACAAGTTCTGGACTCAATACTGATAGGGACTTGGATAGGCTTCTTTTAACTGATAGTAACAGCTGAGCGATGCTACCCGGTGTTCAATTGTTTCTCAACCGAAGCAAGTTTATGGTGCGAATTATTTGCGAATTTAATTATTAGGACTATTTAGTTAAAAAAACGAGGTTGGTAATCGCAGGAAACAAACAAACGTGTAAACAACTCACCTGATTTTATTTAACGAATTCTCAACAGCTAAATTATTTGCATTTGTGCAGCTATTTTCACAAGTTTCTGTGAACAACAGCCTATTATCATTTGCGTGTCTTCCTAATAAGCGTAAAGTGTTCACACGAAGAGTTTTATTGTAATTCTGAGCATGATACAGTCTTATTAAAACATGTGATACCAACCGTGGTGGAAAAGTGATCGTATGAAGTTTTGACAATGATGACTCGTTACTTTTATGTGCACTGATAAATGTTCGTCGAGAACCACCAGGTAAATCGCGATATAGTTCCACCTCAATAGTTACATGACTGGCTATAGGAGAAAAATCGTTAAGAAAAATAGAAGTTTTCTGTAAGATTGTTTGTAATAAAATTAATTCACGATATACATACATTTCAATCCAATCAGTTAAAAACATGAGCCCATACAATAAAAAAAATATGAAAAACTAGAGGAATAAGTTTTAATTCAGTATGTGGGATTTTTTTGCGAATACTATTAAAATTTCATAATTCATATTACAGACTAATCTTATTTAAATCACCCGGTTTTCAAACCGGAAAATAATAGAAAACCCCTTCGTCCTAGTATGGGACTCCTCTGTAGTGGCAACCAAAGACCTAAAATTGAACCCTGGGCTTTTGGATATGCTTGTAAACTTTTAATCTCCACACTACCAAGCCGAAATCCAGTAGTTTCCATGTCTAACCTCAAGAAATTCGTTATAATACACATCAACCTTTCAATCATAATAATATTCAGATAACTATACAATAATGATTTTTATCAGAAGGCGTTTTGTGCATAATATAGTAATTTTAACAGTTGAGATCGTGAGTCAATTGAAGCTAGACCACCATGGAAAACCTGGAAGGACTGGACGGCCGTTTCGTTCTACTGTAGGACTCTTCAGCTGAAGAGAAAGATGGATGTCGTTCAACTTTGTGGATCAGTTAAAGTTAGACATTAACACCGTTGGATGCCAGCTCAGTGATCTACTGGTTAAGCGCTCATGCGCCAGACCGATCAATCCTCGGTTCGAATCTCGCAAGACGGCCGTCCAGTGTTTCCAGGTTTTCTATAGTGTTCTAGCTTCAATTGACTCATCATCTCAACTATTAAAATAATGATTTTACCTGATTGAAATGGATTCATCACTGACAACTGTACACATTCTAATTGTACTAAAAATGGAAATCTTACAATAATCTGTAATGATTCTTTATTACTATGAAAAACAAAATTAGTTTTAATAAAATCTGACAAATTGAAATTTTCCGGAATTTGATATGATGAATAGTTATTATCATTATTATTAGTATTAGTAGTAGTAGTATTATTATTATTGTTACAATCGTTTACATCATTTAGAAGATTTGATGTAGACATTATTTTTGGTGCAAATGAATATGATGAAAAACCTAAATACAATGGAAATATAATATTTTCACAATTATCATTATGACTATTCATAATAGATAATGTTTGACATAATGATGTCATTTGTTCATCTAATATATCTGAATAAATAAAAGATATAGGCGCAAAATCAATGAATGATTTATGATAATTTGTCATTGAAGTACAATACATTTCTTCATTGTTATCATCAAGAATATCATCTTGAGAAGAAGAATTAATTTTCATAGGTTTATGTTGATTCGATTGAAGTAAATTCATACATTGACAATTAGTATTAATATGAGTTGATTGTTTTTGTTGTAAACGTTGTTGATAAGGATAATTGAAATTGGCAATATTTTGATGAAATTCTAATGAAGATTGTTTGAATAAATGAATTGGACCAAATAAACCAATAGGTAATGAATTAGTTAAATATTGAAAATTATATACAGATGATTGTTGATAATATGGAATATTATAATGAAATGATTGTTGTAATAAAGCTTGACCTAATTCAATTGCATTGATTGTATATAATTTTGTATTATCAAAAGAAGATAATGTAGAAATAATGGAAGATGTAGATGATCTAATAGATTTTCGATTATTAGTATCATTTATAAAAGTATTGAAAATAATATTTGCATGATCATTATCATCATTATTGTGTAATTTTAAATAAGATTCAATACATAAAGCTAATAATAGAAATAATGGGCATGAATTTAAAGGAATTGGAGATATAAGCGATTGTAACAAGTATGTTTTGAATGTAACTACAGAGTTTGGCATTATCATTGATGATGACGACGACGAAGAATCCATAGAATCCAAAGATTGCATAACAATAATTACACAATAAAATAACCAATCACATATACTAACTGGTTTAAAATGATTAATAATTAACTGAGTAAAATGTTTCAATGTTTTCCAACCATTAATCATACAAGATAATGTAATCATTGTACTCATAGGTGAACTGATATGAGCAAAATTTAATGAAGATAAAAATAATTTAATATTTTTGATAAAAAATACTTTTATCTCATGTTTATCATGTATACTATTGAAAGTTTCTGTTACAATTCTACAAAGATTTCCAAGAATCAATGCTAAACATTTATCATTGTATGTTTTATTAGATAGAATTTGTGAATACATTCCACTTGTAGAGCATAAACCATATAAATAACAACAGGTTAATTGTCGAATAAATGATGAGGAACAATTTGACAATGGTGTAGTAGTATTAGTAGGAGTTGAAGATTGATCATTCGGATTTTGTACAATATTTTTAGAAGGATCACTAATTAATCTTCGTCGTATATGATTACTAGTTAGTGTGGACCATAAGGTGAAATTTTTATGACATGATTCATATTCTTCATCGACAACAGTAGTATAACATGAAAAACATAACAAATAAGCCCTATTATTATTATTATTACTATTATTATTATTATTATTCATTGATGATTGTTGATTCAACTCAACAAGCTGACCACACAGATAATTTAATAAAATTTGTACAAGTTGAAGAAGATAATCCATTGGTAAATTTGATATTGTATGCATGGAACATGTGGTGATGGTTGTTTGAATTTCATGTTGGAGTGAATCAGAATCATTATTATTATTGTCAACAGTGTTTGCTTGATTGAATGATTTAATGCGTGAACATATAGCTGTTAAAAGAACGGCTTGTAAATCACATGGACCTTCAATAATTCTATTTTTAAGGGTAAAATAAACACAACAAAGGAAAACATAATAATATGAGGTTATAAATGGGTAAGATATTAAAATTTTAATAAATTAGGCTGTAGTTATACGTAATGATCACTGAATTCAAACATCTCTTACACCCCCAAATGCCCTAGTACGGTCGAAAATGAGGGGAGTCTGTCCTCTCTCCCAAAGTGATCTCACATGGCTATGCGTACACACCCACTGTCAGGAAAGTTCTACTCACTGCCTTCTAGTGGAGGGGGTGTTACTTAACGTAGCTAAGAGGACGAAAAGCTAATGTCTAGCGCTTCAAACGGGTTGGAGTTGGAAAACCCTGAATCCAAATCATTGGTGCACGTTGACTCCAGTATCCTGAGGGAATAAATGGCGTAGGAACCTATTGTCGGTCACCGGCTACCAAGGGACTGCATCTCCTAACGTTGCTCTGCTGCCTTGTGAACCAGACCTCTAGGTCAAAGGCTCGTGGAGTGACCCCGGTCAGTATTTCAACCCTCACAGAAATAGGATTGCAAAGTGTGGCGCATATACATTTAATGTTTTATTGTACCAATGTTTATGTGCTTAAATAAATAAATGAATACACCCCCAAACACTTTAATGACAATCATTAATATTCTCAAGAAAAGCTTTACTTTGAGATTACACTAACATCGCAGAAGAATTGTGGTCAAAAAGAATTAGCATAATACTTTACCCTGTAAACTAAATGATGAACATAAAATTCCAGTCGCTAATACATACAATAGTTCATCTACTAAAGTCCGAGTTCAGAGGAGATATCGGAAACTGTGTAAATTTCCAAACCTTTTTCCTATGTGCCACTGTCGATTGTTTGTATTTCTCATCTTAAAAATTGGTATAACAGTAAGTTGATCCATTATTAAGTGCAAAATTCTTGAAGAATAACTGCGTTGCATTCAATTGGTACATTGAATTTTTTTTCACCAGAATTGAATCATATCTTTAGTTCACTATTTTTTATTTGATCACTAAAGTGAAAGCACAATATACAATTAATAGTATTCCAGAGATTGGTTAGTATCTTATTTGTTCCTTTATGATGAGAACAAAATAAACTACCTTGAAACAATCCCTTCTACACTATGATTGGTCATTTATCACTGATAAAAAAACTAATATTAATTGATAATAACTGAAGAAGAGTGTTCAGATCTTTATGTTGTTTCCTTGTTAGATAAGAAAAATGGACTTACTTTATACGAATGTGGTATATTTTGTAAATTCGCAATTGTCTTATTCAAATTAGTTACAACTGGTTAAAAAAGTTCTATACTATCATATGAAGTCTAGCTGTCTAACGGAACAGGAAAATGTTTTTTTTTAAACTCACTTTATTGAACTGTGACGTAGTGAATAGTGAAGAACTAGTGACATTCGGAATTATTTATCGACAAACTAATAGAAGTCAAGATTACTTTGGTCTCATACATACCATTGGCCAAGCTTAAGATGCCAAACCATAGACGTAGTAGTACAGGATGAGAGAAGAAATTATAACCTGGAGTAAGAAAAACTATTTTCCTCCTGATATTAAATAACATTCAGCCATAAAGTCAGTTCTTTGGAACGGGGGGAAGTAAACATTTGTCCAACAGATGGACAAACTAATCAACATATTGAATAATCTATTTCTTCAGTATACAAGTAAAAATTACTTAAAGTATTGAAAAGAATATTTTAGAACAATTTTGTTAACCTAAAACAAACAAACAAACAAACAAAGTTATTTTTAAAAACTTACTGAGTTGAAGTATTTGCCTTTGGAAACAAACCAATTAATTGATCGAGACAAAATTTATCAAATGGATGACAATCAGAATTCATTAGTTTCACTGATGAATATGCAAACCATGTGAATAGTACTTCTAAAGCTAATGTACATGAACGATTTATACCATTTCTTAAAGAATAATCTGTAAGTATAGTGTTTAGAAATATTGAAAAACTTGAAGATTCTAATATGTACAGTCGTAAATCTGATGATTCAGCTGATATTGCCAAAAAATGAATAGACAATGTATAAAAATTACGCAAAAATTCAACAGATTTTGAAGATAGGTAATGTTGATCAGTTGTTTGTGTCTTTTTCATTGATTGAACAAAGTTTTCCAATAATTTTAAGACATTTTGTAAACTTTCCAACTGAATATTTATCTGAAGATTAGCCTTTACATAACATTGGCATTTTTTAAAAGTTTCATCATTTGAAGTAAGTTTCCAGGGTCTATAAGTAAAAAAAAGAACAAGAGAGGAGCGAATTAGTTTATAATGGCATAAGGTTTTATATGCTCGAATTTGAACCAAATAGTTTATATGAAGATTATTGACAGCACTCTTAGGTGGGTTCAACTAGAAAACCTGCGAATTACTGATATGTTTTAACTAATAAGTCAATGCTGTGTTGAATCGAATTAAACTGAAGGCCTGTGAATAAGAAAATATGTTAAGAAGTAAAGATATATGTCACCCAGTCAGTCATTAGCAACGTAGGAACCGGGATATATATGCATCGGCATCACATCAAGATCGAGATAAAAATTATCAAGGTGACTAGAAAAAGTAGTGGTAGTAAAAACACTAGATAGAGATTTCTTGAGAACAGAGAATAAGTCAGGAGAATAAAGACAGCAAAATAATTTTTTAAATCTGAGAAAGGAGGAAAATAAGTAAACGTATCTGAACTATTTCAAGCACTTATGAACAATAACACCGATTCATTAGTTATGATCATTTCGCAAACCTAACAATCAGTTAGTATACACTTACTAATATGGATCATACCAACAATCGACGACTTTATAAATTTATATTATGTCCAAGGTTCGCTCACATCAAACTTTTTCACAATTTATTTCTACATAAGAAAATTTAACTTACTTGAAATTTGGTTCACCAACAATTCCACAGAATAGGTACAAAACATTTGTAAGATATGGATGTTGACCAGACAAATTATCATGAACCGATTGTAGCTTATTATTATTCAGTTGACCAATAGATTTAGCATCTTTCAACATGAGATTGATACATTCAGAAAATATTTCACATAATACAAAATGACCATTGTTGTTTGATGATGTTGCTATGCATGTATTAAGTCTGTTTCTTTGTGCATGATTATGATCAATGGGATGTTGATCAAATGGTTTCAGTAAAATAGACTGTGCTCTGTTCAATAATTGGCTAGGTAATAAGTGCCATAATAAATCTGTAGTTTGTTGTAGGTGATAATTTACCACAGAATTGTTTGGATAAGGCCATGATTTATTTTGAGATTTATGAAGATCAATACTAAAAAGAAGCAAAAAAGAAATAAGGTAAGAAGAATATTAAAGGTATAACATTGAAAAGAAATATTGTAAATGTAAATGGTGTGAACTGATAGTCTGTCCGATAATTAGACAAAATGAGGTCATAGAAACTCTAGTCAACATATTCTATGAAAAATCAATTTGGATCATGACATTTAATTCCTAAGCAGTTTCGAGTTTCGTATATGATTAATTCAATCCAGTTCTCTTTACATAAATACTACAATTATAAATAGCAAAACTAAGGAATTGGAAATCACAATGTTAACATTTTATACCTTTCAATATTTCCATAGTTATCTGTTTTTATGGTCTGTGGACAATCAGGAATGCATTCACTATTAAGAGTAAGGCATAAACATTCAATAATCATATCATTCAAAAGAGACGATTGATCACCAAGACGTTGACAAAAGTTAGTTAGGAATTTAAAAAGTGCAGATTCGTAAATATTTCCATCGGGAATGAAACATTGACGAATTCGATCACCTGAAATATGCCAGCAGATACGACCAAGTAGACGACAGACAACAAAACAATTCTGAAATAAAATTGACTCTCTTGACATTGTAGAGCTATTATTCACAGATGATAAATTTAATAGATTATTTAAAAATTTTAATGTAACATCGGTTAAAATCTGTAATAGTTGGATTAAAGAATTTTCAGTGGAAGACTCATCATCACCAAACATACAGAGAAATCGTTGTTGAGGAATTTGATAGGTTTCCAGAGGAATAAAAGATTTGCTAGGATAGGTATTGGTTTGTTGAATACCTTCTGGGATACACTAGAAAATAATAGGAAGATATAAAGAAAAAGAAATACTAATATGTGCAAATAACTGAGAATTTCTTGAAAATCCAGTTTTCTTCTAAAAAAAAAACATTTACACTTATTTGAAATAGAATCAGGGATTATACATGAAACTATGATGAAAAAGCAATATATTACTTATCACGATGAACAGATAATATATACATAGACGATGAGTTATACCCGAACGAAGAATAAATGAATGGTAATTGCTAGGAATTATTTATGGACTATTATTACATATATTCTTATTGGATAATTATTAAGTACCTAGATTATATTCATATCCGTATTTTTTTTAATCATAAACTTTCATTTGACCAATCAGCTACCAGTATACGATTAACTATTCTTCATTTATTCCCAATTTATCAGTTACAGTATGTCACACTCACATATACTTTTGGCTTGAACTTATATAATTATTATTTCTCATTTTATGGTGTGATGTGGCATGATTTACTTGTATCTAAACAACGTATACCTGAAACATACGACTCATATGGAGGAGGTGAATATTTGTGTTCTGGACTGAATGGAATGGGTTAGGCGACAAGTTACTATACAGAGGACCAATAAGGACTCAGACTTGAATCAAAGCTGCTAGTGCTGTTTTAAGACGTCATTGTTTTGGCATAGGGACATGGTCAATAGGATTCAGTATTCTGATTAGCGAATGTCACGTGATATTTGACTGGTCATAGGACATCACAGGATGCGAAATTGAACATGTCATAAAAATTACTCACATCGATTCCTGATCTACAGATCCCTGTACAAGATATAGCTTAAGATTTATATATTTTCCAAATTATTACACACAGTACATGAAAAGACTATTTCAACAGAGCTTTCATTTTTGCAGTAAACAATACAGGGAGATCAAAGAACTTTTCTGAAAGGAATCTTCTCATATTTTAATTATATTCAGCATACTTCTTAGTAAGTAAATTTGACGAGAATTACATCACTCTTTTTACGTATTAGGTGTTTGTAGGTTATCTCGATAGGAACCCGCTTATGATTGTTTGAATGCTGCTGTTCAATATAGATATTGAGCTAACTGGCATTCGTTAACAAGGTTCACTTGAAATCTTGTAGCAACTAGGGCTTCACGTGATATTCGAAACAGTTTTAGCTAGATCAATGAACGGAGATATTAAATACTGAACTCTACAGATTATGCACTCTATTTCGTGTACTTTAACTTAGAAAGTTCTTTTAGAAAAACGAACTAATACAACAAGTTGAACCAGTTAGCATTTAAGATTTACAAACAACCACAGTCACATTACAATAAACATCAAAAATATTTCACTAGACTATCAAATGTGTATCAATTATAGAAAATTGTATTAATTAAACTGTTGGCTAAGTACTGATACTAATTATGAATTATTCGGAATTTTTTAAAATTTATTCAACAAATTATCTAATAATAGTGTAGAAAGTTTGAAGGGATTATTGAATCTTTCACGTTTCTAATTACGGAGTAATTTAGTTAGACAACCACTGAAAAGCAAGAAGTGTTGGACAGTTGTTTTGCTCTAGTATAGGACTCATCAGTAATATGCATACATGGCTTCATCGTGGATTAGACGCAGGACATTTGATCTCGCGATGACCGTTTAACCTCCAGACCACTGAACCATGTCATTAAAAAAGCAGTTACCATTACATTCAATAGAATATAACTGCGCAATATCATGAATTGATCAAAGTTGAAGATGTACGCTTTCGTGTACCAGCTAAATGCTCACTGCGAGCTGAAGGTTCTGATTTAGGTCTTCGATAGGGTCACCGAACTATTATTAATAATTTATTTAAATGAAAAAAAATCCGAAAAAATCACAATTAGTATCAGGACTTAGCAACGGTTTAATTATTACAATTTTCTATACTTAATAAACATTTGATAGTTGCGTGTAATATTTGTTTCCTAGTACGCCATATAAATCAATAACAATCCTAGGAACTTTTAATAATTGAGATCATGGGTCAATCATAGAAAACCTGGAAGTACTGAACGGCCGTTTCGTCCTAGTATGGGACTCCTCAACAGTGCCCACCCACGATTCTGCCTCGCTATATTCGAACACACGACCTATCAGTCTCGCGCGCGAGCGCTTAACCAACTAGACCACTGAGTCGGCATCCAATGGTGTTAATGTCTAACTTCAAATAATTCACGAAAGTGAGCAACACATTCACCATTGTCTTCAGTGAGTTACTATCTCACAACTAACCCGGTCGAACTCCACTGGTCACTGCTTCTCACTCGAACTCCATGGTGGTCTAGCTTCAATTGACTCATGATCTCAACTATTAAAATTACTATAATATCCACCAAACCTCTTAATATTAATTCTGGAAACCTTCAATAAGTGTAAGAACAGTGGTAAAAAAATAACAAATTGCGACGCATTACCTCTGTGTTTAAAAAAAGAATATTAAGCTTAAATGTTGAACAAAAATGCTAAAATAACAGAAAGTTCGCAACACTCATTGTCTCTATGTTTATCAACTATTACTTTTCATAATGTTGTCTTTTTATGTTGGACATGTTTTAGAGAGGAAGAGACAGACAAAATTAAAATGTGTTATCATTTATTGAGCTTGATAGCTCTACTTCGATAACATTCATATGAATAATTTACTGACATTTTTCTTTAAAAATAGAAAACTCACCCGTCGCATTAATACTGATGTCTGTGAATCAATATTTCGTCGAACAAACAATGCTCCCAATGGGAATAAATCTTTCTGAATAATTTGGCGATGATAATCACGATTAGCTGAAATGATAAAATATGAAACATTTAAAAAGCGTTCGTAATCAATAACTCCGAGGAACAGATCATGATGTTAGTTAACATAGTTTACAGATGGTCGCAGGAGAAAAAGTCTATTCACTTTGTATTTTTTCATTTGATTTGAAATTTATGAGATTCATTCATGATTACAATCTGTTTAGTGATACTTTCCGAGGCAAAATCTTGATCTTTTTACTTACAAACAATGGACAACGGATATGTATTTGTTATTCACTCCGTGGTTAAAAAGTTGAAACACCGTTCCCAAAAGCTTTTCTAAACAACCCACTTAATCTCTCTGGCTGGGAGTTCATTACCATCCTTAAGAAGAATCAGGAATAAGTCAATTACCCCTGCGAATTAAAGCGCTTCACGAGTCTAGTAAGGTGGATAAATCCTTACTAACCATGGAGGATGAGACAGTCTGATTTATGTTACTGAAACAGCAGATCAGCCGACCTGTTCCTCCAAGAACACAATCCACTATTCGAGACACCGTCGAATTTTATTGATTCGCGTCCTTTAAACTTCATAGTTTGTAACAGTGACATCAGATTTCATCTGACAGTGGCTCAGAAGAACTTAAATATCTTCCGATAGTGAGTAGATACTACTGCTGCTTCTAATTAGATAACGTATTTCGAATAACAGGTTTCTCAGTTGTTACAACAATTTTATAAAGCTTACTTACTAAAGAAAATACAATTATCATCACACTCGTAGTTTACCAGAGCAACCAATATCCCTCAAGTATTTGTATGGAGCTTGCAGAAACCTAGTTTTATTATTATTTATTTATTTAAACACATAAACATTGGTACAAGGAGGCACCAAGTAGATATGTGCCACATAAATCATTCGATTTGTGTGAGGGCTGTGATATTGTCCGGGTGCCCAGACCGAAGCAGGTGGTTTTCTCGAGGGACCACACCCCGAGCCTTTGACATAAAGGTATAACTCACGAGACAGTGGAGCATCGTGAGGAGATGCAGTCCCATGGAAACCGGTGACCAACAGTTGGTTCGTACGCCATTTGTTCCCGCAGGATACTGGAACCCATGTGCACCATTGGTTTGGAATCCGGTTAAAGCGTCGGACATTCGCTTTTCGTCCTCTCAATTTCGTAAACAACACCCCCGCCACGAGAAGGCGGTGAGTAAGACTTCCCTGGCAGAGGCTGTATACGTGTGGCCGTGTGAGAGCATTCTGAGAGGGAGGGCAGGCCCACCCCACTCTCGGCCATACCAGGGCAGAGATTTTTTGCAAAGCTCCTATTTTCATTATCTTATACAAATGCACTCAGGTAGTTCAACTTGGCTTTCCGATACGTTTATTGTGCATCACAACTAGTGGTACCAATCAGTTTTTTTTAAAATCAATGAATAGAGGTATACAGCTGTAACTAACTGATTAAAAGTCTAACCCGCGACTATTTAAAAACACCAATCTACCTTATATTATAAACCGTGTGAACAGTTACTAAACATTAAATTAGTACGACTAAATGTTTCAATTAACTAAAAATGTTAAAACGTACTATTTAGGGTGAATTGTAACAAGATTGTTATACCTTATTTATGCATGAAATTCAATGTGAATACATTTTCCACCATACAGAATAAAAAATAATTGATTAATTTGAATAAGGATAGAAATTACTAAATAACTTTGATTATATCTATTAAACTTGCAAAGAAATATATGTATATTTAGAAAATCTTCAAACACATTCAAAAGAAATTTACTCGTTGTTATTGAAGAAAACAGAATGGTGGCTCAACTTTCAACTTTAGTGGACCCTACTCATAAAAATTGTTTATACGTAGTATATAGCCCAATGTGGCATCGAAACTGAAACAGTCATCAGACGGAGAGATCAGTCAACTGAAAGTACGAAGCAGATAGAACGTTTAAAGATAAGACGAGAAAACTGTTCAGATTGTAGAACACATTGAAAGATTCAAATGGATAATTGATAAATATACATTCCTTCTGCCAATTGTCATCATCTATATAACCACTTAATCTCAAGTTTGAATCCTGCTCTTGTTATAACAATTTAAACAACACAATAGTAATATCACTAATAAAGAAGTAGTATGAAGAAAAGTACACAAATCTAATTGTATTTGGTAAAGAAATTGATTAAAATAAACAATTAATTTCAATAGTTGAGATCATGAGTCAATTGAAGTTAGACTACCATGGAAAACCTGGAAGCACTGGACGGTCGTTTCGTCCCATTGTGGGACTCCTCGGCAGTGCGCGCCCACGATCCCGCCTCGCGGGACTCGAACCCAGGACATACCGGTCTCGCGCCAGGCGCTTAACCAACTAGACCACTGAGCCGGCATCCAATGGTGTTAATGTTTAACTTCAACTAATCCACGAAATTGAGCGACACATTCACCATTGTCATCAGTGAGTTACTATCTCACAACTGACCCAGTTGAATTCCGCTGGTCACTGCTTCTCACTAGGACTCCAGGATAAACCTCTTGGAGCCAGTCACTAGTGAGCATATGTTGATGAGTATCGGAAAGGGTTTTGTGGTGATTGTAATAATTCCAATAGTTGAGATCATGAGTCAATTGAAGCTAGACCACTATAGAAACGGCCGTCCAGTACTTCCAGGTTTTCCATGATGGTCTAGCTTCAATTGGCTCATGATCTCAACTATTGAAATTATTACAGTCTCCACAAAACCCCTTCTAATAATAAACAATTAAATTGAGAAATATTAATGATTTGATATAAAACGAGAGAGAAAAAAATCAACAAAATGTACCTGCATATTGAGTTGATAGATTAGCTAAATGTTCTAAATGCCATCGATAAAATGAAACAATACACAATTGATATTGTGATAATAAATTATATTTATAAATACCATCAGTTATTTTAGTATTTATTGTTTGACAATAAGGATATATAGCATTACATCGATCATTATTATATAATTGATGAAAATAATGCCATTTTAATAAACCATTTATACTTATTTGACCATTATATGATAATTGACGCATATTTAATACTGTTAAAAAATCATGTAAAGATTTATGAACAGTAAGAAGAGATGAACAACTATTTTCTATTATTGTATCAATAATTATTAGAATATTATGAAATGTTTCCAAATTAAATGAATCCTCTTTATTATTCTTATCTATGGAATCCCATATATCATGAAGAATGTATACAGAAGTATCAAATAGATAATTAGACATTCCAGAATGAATTAAACGTTGTAATATAGCCCAAAATAATAGTTGTTGTCTATATTCATTAGTAAATGCAATTTGTAAATCATTCGATTTTATTATTGAGAAATTATTTTTCAATGTAGAAAATTCATTAATGAATCTATAAAGATAGTTATGATCAGTATGATGAATTGGTAAAATAATTGAGTTGATTTTCATAAACACTGGCATTAATCCAACTGTAAGAATCTGTTCACAGAAAACACAAACACACAAAATAATCAATTTCAATATAGAAACTTGCAGTAAAATTAACCAAGACAAAATATATGTATAAAATAACCTAAGAGACTAATACATATATACATATCAGTAGCGTGTTTCATATTAACAAAAAATATCTAGTCAGTCAGCTAGTGATGAATAATTTACAATTTATGAGTCACTGAATTAGTGAGTTATGTCATGTTATGTAATGTCATGTCACAAATCTAAATGACTTGTTATTGAGTGAACTAGGCTAAGATGTTATGTGGTTACAGACAGTGCTAGTCGGTACTTGTCACCTAAGTATACTTGGAATTTTTTGGGGAAACAACGTTCTCGTGTGAGATTTGAACCTGTGAAACCCAACGTTTTTGTTGATGAACACCTATCTAACAGCCATGAATAATTTTGAAGGTGAGGTAAATGTACACAGAGTGAAGTCCTTCAAAAATTTCATCCACATAAGGAAATGAAATCAACAGAGAATTTAAAATAATAATAGAATCTGCAATTTTAAAGAAAGTAAATGAAAACTAATGAAACTAAAGAATAAAGAGCCAGTCGAACGATTTGATCCAAAAAAGCATAAATAGACAACTTATGCACTGGATGGAGACTAGTAATCCTACTCTTTAGGCTTAAGCTCTAAGTGCAAAAGAGATACGTGCAAGCCATTATTCTTCTATGGCCCTAACACCTAAATTTTCATAAATGGTAACATGATTTTATGGCATCCACTTAATATGCTTTACTCTTCTTAATTCTAATTATTCTTTATTATCACTTTCAAGTTTTTGATTTATTCTTCATCCTTCTTATTATCACATTTGATTTCATCTTTTTATTTCTCATTAATTCTCGATTATTAAACAATTATCTTTAACACATGATATGAAGTAATTGCGCTCCTATTCTTCAATAGACTATTTTATTTGTAAATTAACCATAAATAGGATTGTACAGCTTGAGTGAATGATATAGCTGGAAAGAAAATTCTTTGCAGAATCATCTCAATTCTTGAATAAAAGGTATAGAGTAACATATTTTAACTCAAGTACTGGTTGTAATCTATAATAATTAATCCTAAGTATTAACATATGGGAAAAATAGAAACGTCAATGAAGAAGAAATATCATTCACACTAAAAAAAACTCCATTGCCAACTGGATCCAGTAGCTTAGTTGTGTGCAAGAGGTTGACATTTGAAGAGAGTTTTAAAATGAACACCAACACTGAAACTCAGCAGTATGAAATTTAGTTGATAATTTCCAAATAAGAAAAAATGTTTATCATGAATTTTACTTTTAGTTCCGATAAAACATATTTAATTAAGATTCAAGATTCAATAGAAGATAAAGCAATGAATCCATGTACTCAATTCCAATAGATTTAGAATTATGTTAGCTGATGTCGTTAACCGTAAATGACAATTAGTTTGTAGACATTAATCAGATATATTCCACCTACTGAAACAGCTCAAACTAATAATCAATAACTTCATGAATTAATCCCTAGTTTTGATTTAGCCACCTCTATCCTTTTTCTTTTCCTATCCTAACAGTAATTTTACGTGGAAGTTGGCAATGGATGAGAATCGGTGACACATGTCCTAATCACCAGAGCGTAAATGACGAAATACTGACAATGAATAAACAGCTATCCAGAGTCTAACTATGATTAACCCATGTTGTAAATTGTGGAAGATAGGCAACATTTTCAGGTCATAAAGTGCCTAGAATTGGTAAAATCTATTAAGATTATTATAATCGTTGTACTGAAATATTTTTCGTCAGTTACACGGCTACGAAAACTAGGACATCATGAAAATCAAAGTAGTCTGGCTAATCATTAATCTGAAGTTATCACACAGGAACATTTATAGATTAGAGATAAGCACCAATAAAAAATAATAACCATCTATGAAAATCTAAATTAAAATATATGTTATCAAGAGAGAGACTTACAAAAATAGACAGTCTTTTTTTATTAAGAAAAAACAAACAAAAAAGAAACATAACTTACTTGCATTGAACGACTACCATGAATAATCATATCATTTAAAAATGTTGTACAACATTTATCAACATAATTTAAAAAGGTGTAATCTCATCGTCTAATGGTGAAACTCCTGTTGATTGGGTTAATAATGAAAGAGGTTCTATCACTGACCAGATTTCATTTGCATGACTTAACAAACACAGTAAACAATGTTCCAAAACATACTTCACTTTATCTGGATACAAATCCATTCTTATCTGTTCATTAGACTAAAATTAAACAAAATGGAGAAATATATGTATAGAAAAAAAGATATCGTTAAAGGAAAAAACTTAAAGACAGAGATGGATGGTGGCTAGTAATGGAATCTACGGTGCGCGTTTCGTTCAATTTTGCACTCATTAGCTGGACTTCACTGCTAGCCATTATCCAACTCTGCTTATAAAGTTTGTCAACTAACGCCAATACCGAGGTAATCCGCACAGGATTCATATGTGGCAAGAAGAGACTGATCAAAAACAGTAGTGTAAATGATGATGACGAAGACTGAACATAGAAGATGGGGATCAAAAAGCAATGTACTCAGGGAAAGAAAAGTATGAAAATCAAGATATTAGAGAAGATAAACGGAATACACACCCGTGACAATATAATCGGTCTTGATCTATGTTATCGAAGGTCTCTAATCTACTGACCAGTAAAATTTCAACCAGTTGGTAGTTTGTACATGCCAGAATGCCTCAGAATGACAGTCAATGACTTCACGGATTTGTGCCACGTCATGGTTCAGTCAATGTAACCTTTTTTCAACCTACCTTCGAACCAACCAGAATGAGACGTCGAAGTAGGCATTATGGACTAAGAGCTAAAGTTGTTTTCATAAGGATTTTTAAAACCTAATTTATATGGAATACGACTTCGAAGAATCTGTAACGTAAGTTTAAATTCAATTAACTTATTCATCAGGTACTTAGGTTTGAGTCACTTTTTAAGTGTAAATGCTAATTGTACGATCCAGCTGTCAAATCAAAGTGATTGGAGAGCGGTTGGAAGCCAGGAATTGGTAGTTAAAAGTTAGACGCTTTAATTACTCCGCCACCACCAACTGGGATAAATCGATGTGAGCGCGTACAACAGATTACCGTGTGATATTTAATAGAAAGTAATTGCAGAGTTTGTATGGTCGCGTTATTTTTTGGAAAATTAATCCTATTGGATAGTTAAAAACTGTAAAGTACCAGCGATTTCGAACTTGAACGCCTAATACTGACATTTTAACTTCTCCTGGTTCCCAAGAAATCTCTTAAACTTGAACTCCGAACGAACAACAAAACGTGGGGAGTATATAAAGAAAATTTACTTCCAAGGTTACTTTAGATACAAGAACAAGAACATTCGTAGGTCTATGGGTAACTTTGGTATCTTTGAAGTTTCTGGAAATATGTTAAGTTCAGTAAACAAAAATCGGTACTTTTCCCGTGAAGATTTTCTTGATTTATTTACAGTTTCCAGTGAACGCTAAATGAACAGTATTTTCAGCCCTTTTCTTAGCTTTAAAAGACCTTCTCGAGGAATAGTTGAATGCTTCAAACATGATCCTGATTAATTATTCAATAATTCAATGACAGAACTAATTCATTACAACATCTATTAAATTAACTGAACAGTGACTCTGCTATCTGTGATGTATTCAGTTCTGAACAGAAAACAGTCTTGATAAGAGTTCATTTATCAGTCTGATAACCATAATCATCATCTGTCCAAGAAACTAAGTTGATCAATTATTTTCTGTAAGACAGAAAAAAAGTTAACAAGACGAATAGTAACAATAACATAATAATAAGGGTTAATAATTGACAAACCATTTGATGAATTCGACTCTTATATTCACGCAGTTTTTCAGGTTGATATATTTTTCTTAAACGATTCAATGTACGATCTATCCAATTCAACTGATATTGTAAACTATAGCATTGTTTATATAGTGATGATATTTGGATATTATCACTATCTAATGATATACTGGATCTATACACGTAAAAATAAATGGAAAAAAGGAAGACAAACATATTTAACAGAGTCATAAAGAAGATGAACAGGAGATTACGATATTGTACCAGTAGTAGTAGTGGTGGTTAAATCCCGAACTTCCCTAATATAACAAAGGGAGAACCCAGTCCCATCAGAAAGACTAGAATAAACGTTGTATTCAGGTTGGATTGCATACAGATATTAATTCAATTTGAAAAGAGAATGAGAGAAGTCACATCACGAACTGCTCCACATTACCCGGAGAACTGATTGAAAACAACCCGAGAGTATTGACTAGTTGTTATGTCATGAGCTTGCGACTTATCGTACAATTTATCTTAATTAAGACAAAATGACAATATGTACTCAAAATGTGCATGTTTTAATGGAGACTGATCAATAGCAGTCCCAAATATTAGGAATTTGAAAAAAACAAACACTGACAACTACATTATTATTATAGATGAAACGCAGAATAAAGTATGGGTTCATATACCGCTTTTTGAATATACTTTAATTATTGAAGGTTTATTAGCAATCCCCAACAGTTTCAACCTAAATCTACGTGTATCTATGTTGAAAATCGGAACCTCCTGGTTCAAAATTAAATGCTTTATTCATTTGAAGGATAGATTTTTACTTAACTTTTTTTAAATGTACGATTTATACGAAGTTCAGTCAGATTACAATGCAAATGGAGTAAGTATAGCTCTTTACACGCTCCTCCAAAGGTAAGATTTCCAGTTTAAAAAACATACTACACGTAGTTAAATTAAGAAGCACTGGACAGCTATTTCGTCCCACTATGGGACTCCTCGGCAGTGCACAGTCACGACCCAACCAGCGATCGAACCTAGAACTTTCAGGTATCAATGTGAGCACTTAACCATTAGACTAATAAACCAAAATCCAATGGTTTATATGTCCAACTTCGTCTAATCCGTCCAACCATCCTCCAATGTCATTAGTGAGTGACTACTTTATAAAGACGTGGTTGAATACAATTTATGATGAACTAATATATTTGATAAATTCAAATTACGGAACGAAAACGTACATGAAGTTTTTAAAAATGTTTGAAAATGGCAAGAAACAGATGTAAATCAACAATTTTTATCAATCACGTAAAACAGTACTAAGATTATTACGTAACATAAACATTTTATTTTTCAATACTACTACTATCACTATTAGTAATAATACGATCATATATATGGGACATTTTAGTGGATTTCTTGGCTTAATAGCTTATTGTCGAGATAACTCATTTGTTTTTGAACTGCAAGTTACAAAAGTTCGAGTCTCAATGTGAACATTAGCACTAGAATGTAGAAAGTACACCCAGCTGATGAGCACAAAATAAGATGAAATGTGAGTTCTGAATTTCATTTATTACACAATCTGTAAAAACCCACTTTTTTTTCTAGTTTGTTCATATGACTAACTCCAATACAAACATATTTACAAATACATCAGAAACAAGGTTCAGATAGAATGGTGGTTGGAAGTAGTCAACAGGAAACCCTGGATTCGGGTTTCGTACCACTTGGCACTCGTCAGCAAGGTGTACCTGTAATCTTGAGGGAACTGGTTCTCCCTGACGGATTTGATCCTGTATCACCCAGCTTCAAAGTCAGAGACGTTACCACTGGGCTATCCGGGCCGCGATCGACCTCCTGTAGGACTGAGATGTATTCACAATTGATTGATCACTGGGTGGTGATCAATGTCATGTGTGTCAAGTCCTTCTTAGTGCAGATCGAATGCTATCGATCAAGGTTCATTCACTTCACCATAGATTATCGACTAGATATAACAAATGATGACTCGCATCAGATTTTTTTTCTCCTTTCTAAATAGTATACAATGTATATTTAGTTTTATTTCATAATATCTAATTCCATTTATTATCTTTATTTATCAATGAAGTAATTGAATTGTAAAAAAAACTTACATTTTTTTATTCTTATCAAATTGGTCTAATGTATTCATTAAACATTGTTGAATTGAAATGTATTTCATTGTTTTATTTAATACAATACTTTCTAAATATTGTATTAAATCAATACTATTAGAATTTGTTTTCATTAAAGGATGTATGAATTGTTCCCATATACCATTTTGTCCAAAATATGCACCTAAATGAATACGTGCTTTAGTGAATGGACAATCTAATCGACCAACTATAGAAATACGTAAATGAGCAAATTTAATTGGTGGATAAATATCACGTAATATTAAAGCAGAATGACTTATATCAGTAGATACAGCTATTAATTTTGTAGAATTTATTGGTTTCTTGAATGATTTATCTATGAATATAGCTTCTAATGTAATACATTGTAAACAAGGATTCATTGGAATAATTAGATCAGTTAAATAATTTATTGATGATGAATAAGTACTAAATGTAACTGAACGATGTGCACCTGGATGCATACGAGATATTACTAAATGATAAGCTTCAATGGAATTAATGAGATGAGATATGATAGATGTTAACTGATGATTTTCATTATTAGTTTCAACTTGTGATTCATTGAATTTTATTACGTAGGAATTATTATCATTTATTGGTAATTGTTCACCAGTAACTGTAAAATGTAAAAGGAAAAAAATGTATTAAATTACAGAAAACTATTTAATAAATACACAAAAAGGAAATATGATTTAGACAGAAAATAGACGAGTGGAGCTCATTTATCAAATAGAACGAGTGTAGTGGTTAAGGCATTTAAAAATGAGGGTTGAAGTTTCGAGTTCCATGTCGCCGATTTTGGTTTTGATGAGTTACACAATAATCATTACTTCTCCCACAAAAAAAATGATTTAAAGTCAAGTACACGAATCTGTATTTAGTAATTGTGTAACTGCACGATTATCGTAACCGAAAATTAGAGACATTGAATGTATAAGCTTAGAATACGTTGGAGACAAATTCACTCATATTTTTATATTTCGAAAATTCATTCTTCCTTCTCAATTTATATTGCCTATCCCTAACCTTTTCTAATACCATTGATACTGTTAATAGTTGTATTACTACCGCATTTGTCTTCGTAATTTCATCCAAATGTAGTGATATAGTGTAGCAATTTGAACTGATGAACATAGATTTCAGGTGTTACGTTACTTAGGACTAATGTGTTGTACCATCGTTATTATCACCAATTATCAGTTAAATATTAAAATATTTGACTTGGAAGTACACAGTATATGTGATGCTTGTTCAAACTGAATTAAATGAAGTTAGGTTCTAACTTGTGACCTATTGATTGATATCCCTGTATCGTAACCACCAGATTATTCGCCTCAGTAATCTGAATGTATATATATATACTCAACAGTATAAAAGCATTAAAATTCTTACGTAAAATAAATAAGCGAAATTTATAGTTAAATATTAACGAGAAACATAGTAAAAAGGATTACTTCTCAATTAGAGTCATTATACCTACATAACGGTAATTTTATTAATTTATTTTTAATATAATTCAGCAACTAAACATTCACATGTTTGTATACTCAATTCTGAGAAATATTTAATGACTAAAGGTTAGTGATTTTATCCAATCACCCAAACTGATGTAGGTGATATGAGTTTCGAACCACTAACCTAATGACATTCAAATCGAACCCATAAATTTTAATTACAAACGAGATATTCCCTATGGCTAGTATACTGTTCAACCAAAAAATTTATGGAGATTAAAATTAGAAACTGAAAGATGTACATCCATTTTGATTACAATGAGTGAAGTTGTTAATTTAGGTAGCAGTTTACATTTTCCAAGAGTTTCACCGACTGTAATGAATTGAGAAGTGACATTTATATTCCATCTTTTTACTCTATTGTCCTAGTTTGAATATGGCTGTAATTTTCTCTTTACTTGCGCGTTGTGGTCTTGTTAGTCGGAACCTTATTTATGCGCCTTTTCCAGTTACTGTGAATTAGGAAAAAATTGGACAGCTGAATTGTTTTCGTTCTACTTGCCAACCATTCAGGTCATAGGCTATTGGCATGATAGTAGAAGTATGTGAACGACCTTGAACTACATTTTATTCAATGAGAAAACAATGTTTAGTTACGAAACGATTTATGGTGAAAACAGATATTAACAAATGGGACATAAACAATGAATATTTAAATATAGAATTATTAAGTTTTCATCACGAACTGACATTAGCAACAATGCATGATTAAATTTCGTGCAGAAACTTGACTGGTTTGTTCATATATGTTGCACGTGCCGGATAATTTTCTTCCCTTTGCCCTCAAGGCCGTTGAGTTACAATCGAACACATGAGTAGTAATACCAGAGACTGTACTAGGCATGTTAAAGCCATAAACTAGATCGAAACAACTTTCTTTATATAAAGCACAAATTAATGGACCGGAGAATCAAAGACGTAACGATTATAATTATATTGACTCATTACATGGCACAAATTCATTTACTTAATATTGAGTTACACTTCAAATACGAGGGCTCAATTACACGACCCGAAATCTAAACACGTTTATTAGACGAAATGTTGAAATCATTCAAATTTCAATCGTTGTGATTATTTAAAATAATAATAGCTTCTCTATATTCGGAGCTAAACTTTAATCAAACTATTCGTTTTACTATTGACAAACTATTCATATAGATTATACTACTCAAATTCAAGAAAATGCAAAGAAAACAATCCCAAAAAACGAACATACAAAAATCCACACGTTCAATATCACAATCATCATTTAATTGAATTGATAATTTATCTAAAGGAAATTTTAATGGTTCCACATCTAATATACCATTGAATGGCCAATCTTGTAAATCTGATAATATAATATGATGTATATTATTTGAATTATCAATATTCATAATGAAATTACTTCGCATTAATGTGAAAATATCAGAGAAATTAATATATGATACATCAGATGAGAGTAGATATAATGAATCCTTATTATTATTATTATTATTATTATTATTATTATTATTATTATTATTATGTGTTATCATCGTTTTGTAAATGATTTGATGTTTCTATTAATTTTGTATTTTGCGCTAAATCAATAGTATCATTGAATTTTGAATCAGATATAAATGTTATATAATTTTTCGGTGTAAATATACCATTAAAATTCATTACATCTTTATTAATAGAATAACAATTTTTAATATTTTCATAATTTAAATTCATATTATGATTAGAATTAGAATAAGTATTAGTATTATTATTATTACTAGAACTTGGAATTGTTGAATGAAATGATTTCTGATATTTATTATTGTTATTACTATTATTGGTTGATTGTAAGCATTCAGAACCTAGGAAAGTCCAATTATATATTGGTAGATTGAATAGCATAGGTGGACCAAGACATGTAGGTAAATGATATGAACTATAATTAATAAATAAATAAAACACATAAATTTAGTATAAGAAATGAATATGTGCAATAGTTTTTAATATACACAACCGGCGGCCTGCTTGAATATCTGGGCTACCTGTTCCTCTGATCTAGATATTTCATCAAGTTATCTGTTTTGTTGTTTGTTTTAGCACATCACTATGTCTATTGTGCGCACAATCTATTCAGGCGCGTTTATGAAAAGTTTACAACCTTTCGCTATACGGGATACAAAAAGGTACAATCAGCGACATCATGGTGGCTGGCAATATGCATTGAAACGAATGAACAGTAATCAAATGTGGATTACCGAACTTCTAACACCTAACTGGTCATCATTCAAAATTTATCGTCACAATCGATCAAGGTATAAGAAAAGGAAACTTGTTGAAATACTTTATGCTGAGAATTCTATGTTGTACCAAAAATATAATGTTGAATAAAGCTTCTAATAATAATAATAATAACAATAATAATAATAATAATAATAATAATAATAATAATCAATCCAGTCACAATTGACAGAGAAGATTTGGAAGATGTAAAAACCTTTACATAATTGGGCAGCATCATTGATGAACAGTGTGGATCTGATGCGGATCGGTAAAGCAAGAGCAGCATATTTACAACTGAAGAACATCTGGAACTCAAAACAACTGTCTGCAGCCAACACCAAGGTCAGAATTTTCAATACTAATGTCAAGACAGTTCTACTATATGGGGCAGAAACCTAGAGAACTACGAAAGCCATCATCCAGAAAATACAGGTGTTTATTAACAGTTGTCTACGCAAAATACTTCGGATCCGTTGGCTGGACATTATTAGCAACAACCAACTGTGGGAAAGAACAAACCAGATCCCAGCGGAGGAACAAATCAGGAAGAAGCGCTGGAAGTGGATAGGACACACATTGAGGAAAGCACCCAACTGCGTGACAAGACAAGCCCTCACATGGAATCCTCAAGGCCAAAGGAAAAGAGGAAGACCAAAGAACACATTACGCCGGGAAATGGAGATAGACATGAGAAAAATGACCAAGAATTGGATGGAACTAGAAAAGAAGACCCAGGACAGAGTGGATTGGAGAATGCTGGTCGCCGGCCTATGCTCCATTAGAAGTAACAGGTGTAAGTAAGTAAGTTCAACTTATTTATCAGGTACATACATGTTAAGAATGGTAGACAATGATTGTAATCAATGGCTTTGAATTGAAAAGAAAAATAGAGCGTAGTTTGACTTCAAAACTCAGTGGCTAAATATTGAACTCACTAAGCTATTGAACCAATCCGATCCACTAGATGAAATAACTTACAGCGGTATATATATTATTGTTATGATGGATTTGAATTATCCTGTTGTTGAAAAACTTTACTGACTATGTTGATCACCTTAAGTTGGCATATGTGTATCTTGTGTGGATTTCCTCGATATAAAATTGCCAATAATAACATAACATATCCCCTAGACAAGTAGATTACTATCTAGTTTCAGGAGCTCCGTGGATAATGCGTTGGTGTTACTGGTATCAGAGTCTTAACGTGAAAATAAACGATCGAGGGAGGTAGGTAAATCCAACGGAAAAGTCTCAAGTAGATTGGAACGCACTCCAACACTTAACTGCTGGCATTTATTCTATGTAACTAGTACGATATAGATAATAACGAACAGATTATACCGAGATAACAAGAATCGATAGTAAAAAATGAATGGTTCTGTAGTCTTGTTATCGAATATTTGTTTGTTCTTTGCCACAGTCGAATTCATATCTCTTTTAACAATAAAAAACAACTCTTCTATTAGTATTATAAGAGGTTAGTGACGATTGTATGGTTATTATTGGCTCTGCCCCCAAATGCCCTGGTATAGACGAGTGGGGTGGGCCCTCTCTCCCTCTCGAAATGCTCTCAAACAGCCACGCGTATACAGCCTCTGCCAGAGCAGTCCTACTCACTGCCTTCTCGTAGCGAGGGTGTTGTTTACGAAAATGAGAGAACGAAAAGCGAATGTCCGACGCTTTAACCGGATCCCAAACCAATGGTACACATGGGCTCCAGGATCCTGAACGGACAAATGGCGTATGAACCAATCGTTGGTCACCGGCTACTATGGGACTGCATCTCCTCACAATGCCCCACTGCCTTGTGGGTCACACCTTTAGTTCAAAGGCTCGAGGTTTGGCCCCCTAAGATAACCACCTGCTTCGGTCTGGCACCCGGGTAGTATCACAGCCCGCACACAAAGTGTGGCGCATATATATTTGGTGCCCTCTTGTACCAATATTTATGTGTTCAAACAAATAAATAAAATTGGCTCTTAATAATTATCTAGTTGAAGCCAGTGTGCAATGTAAATCACAAAGAAAGAGTTTAAATCTCATAATTAAATTATCTCGCCTGCTTGCAAATAATATCATCCATCAAAACTTTGTTCATTCTGTAATTAATCTGGAACATTGAAGATAATTTTAAGTGCACCACATGAAACTTCCCACATGACAGAGCCCTAAAAGACTGTGTTACACAAAGTTTACACGAATAATGATCAACATTGTCTGTGCAATGATTGGGTGGTTACTTGAAATCCAAAAACAAAGACAGGTGAACAATTCTTAAGGTCCTCCGTCACACTCTCAGTCATTGAACAAGGATGAAAACTACTATTTATTTGTACGAATATTCGTCAATATTTAAACGAATAGTTTGACAGAAATTGATTTTCATGATCGCCCTGAAGAAATCCAGACACGTTTTTTTTTTGGACAAAACGTTAGAATTAAACAATTTAATTTCAACGACTGAGATGATCTCAAACATAACTTTCATAAACATTGTTTACAATCCCCTGAAAAAAAGAAGCGATTGAATAGAAATACTAAGAAAAATATCAAAATAAATACTTACGGGTGTAGACGATTGAAATCCTCATGAACAATGAAACTGTATTGAGTAAAGTCATTAGATTATTTTGCAATAACAATTTTACCTTCAAATCATTTAAATTGTTACGATATTCATCAAAAGAATAAGAAATGATAAAATCCAATAAACTGAATAGTGTTTCACATCCAGCTGATGTTTGACAAATTAATAACCAACGAATGAATTTACTATTACTACTATTATTATTATTATTACCAGTAGTAGTTTTACTATCGGCAGCCAGACAATTGCGTAATACATGGAAAACCATTGGCTTCTTATATGATGAATTATTTGAAGAGCAATATTTTAGGAAGACAAATTCTAATCTATGAAAAAACAAAATTATAGAAATAAAAATCGGCATAGTACAAACTAGATGTATCCAAAGTTTGTCCAATAAATACTCAAACACAGTACCTTAGCAACACGACCAACCGATCAATATGGAAACACTCATCTAATGGTTATTTTTTTGTTAAACACTTTCCAAATTATTCGTCTAAAATACATGCGAAAGTAAGCAGGTTGAAACCTCTAGTAACGGATAATGTATCAATGACTTGAAGTGAATATACTGACTGACATTATATCATGTAATCTGTGAACCCTACTTAAAAATGTCAAATTCTTGGTAATTTGATTTAATGACATCTCATTTATTACCAGGCATAGACTTAGGCATTTGGTTTTGACCCAAACTCCAAGGGTGAGAGCTAGTAATACTATGTGGTTACCCAAATACAAGTACTTGGGGTAGGTTTCGAGCCAGCAACGGGAAGTTAAACTCCTTAACCAACGGGTAATAGCATGCTCAATGCGAAAATAAGAAATACTGAACGATGATCAACTATGTCCAACATTCATGGCTGATAAAAAGATATATTCAAACTGGGTTATTTTTTAAAACTACAATTAAGTAATATTCCTTATAAAAAATATCGGAAATACATTTGAAAGCTTTAGTGTTTGAAAAATGAGGGAATGTAGAAAACACTAGTAGGCTGTTGTATATTATTTGAATGCTTTACAAAAGCGAACACCATAAAGATCATGTGATTAAACAAACAGAATAAATGTAGATTGACTGGTCACTAAGCAGTAACCAATGTCACGTTTATTTAACTCTTAGTGTTGATTGAGTTATGTCGACCAATTTACAATGTGATCATTAGCTTCGATAACATGTGGACCATATTTTGGTGTTAGATAGTTGAAACCAATCGGTCCTGAATCTACACTTCGGTGTTAGTAATTGTCATCAAATCATATTTGTAATCTAGGAGGAAATTAATGCTCAAACAACTTTCCTCTCAATGCTATTAAACTTGACTCTCAGTCACAGATACCACCATTGAGATGTATGTAAACAAAGAGATTTATAACGCACTAATTTAATTAGTATTCGTGAGATAGAAATTATATGAATAGCACAAATATTAGTGTATATGTAACTGTACAATTTTCACAACAGTATACGAATATTAGGAAACTAATAAAAATAACCAAGAAATTACTTGAGTAAACTAAACAATAATTTTGTTCCAAGTTGAACACATTCACGATCACCGTGTACAATTACATTTTCAATTAACATCTCATAATTATTTGCAGCCAAATTTAATAAATTCGCTACGATATCGCTAAATAAGGTTAAAATTAACAAACGAAAATAATATTAATTATACAGTATAAACTGTAAGTTGAATATTAACCTAACCAAATCAGTGAATAACAAGTTAGCGAAGATAGTTGCAAGTTATATTTATTTATTTAAGACAACAAATCGGTCATTCAGTGATAAACAACAAACAACCTGACATATATACGCAGCAGTGAACGTTACCATACCATATCAACACAATAAAATGTAATTATTAAGACAAATACCAAAGTCCGTATAGAGTTGTGAAAATTGCTGAATTTCATTGAAATTATGAACCGATCAAAATTAAACTAACATTGAAAACCAGGACATAAGGAACGGTCATTTTGTTCTAGTATGGGGCTTTTCAACAATGCTGATTCACGACAGCGCACGTTAAACTGGAACCCAAAACTTTCAGTCTCGCGTGCGAACACTTCCTCTAGGTTAGATAATGATTCTAATGAAATTCAACATCCATAATCCCACACTAACAATTATCATATGTTCACTGGTGACTACATTCTAGAGGAAACTTCCCAAGATGTTTTCACAGAAATCATAACCAATGGAGCTAAACCATGTCCACTGTGAAACAGTTAGCCACCAAACATATGTGGATTACCTTGATATTGCCATTAAATTACAAGCATTTTAAGCAAATTTGAATGGTGGAGTAAATATCAAATGCATCCAGTTGACCAGTCTCAAATAGGACAAGACAGGTGTTCTGGATTCCACTGGTAGCTATTATCTAACTTTGCTGAGAATACCACCGTCATAAATAATATTACTATTAGGAAAGTGGAAACTTACCATGATAATTCTAACTCATGAAGATACATCAACACAACCCAATTCAAAATATCTAGAATAATTGACGAAAAATTGCTATTATGATGGTAGGAGTTTTGAGTAAGAAAGTCTCTCCATTTATTATGATTATTATTACTACTATGATTACAAGTACCATCAGTTGAGCTAAGAAAATTAAAACAATCTTCATGAAGTTTCATAGAGCGTAGAATAGCTAAAAGTTGAGCCCTTTCATGTAAAATTGTATGCATTTTACACGACTTTAATGATGTACGTCCATTAAAATCATTATCAATATCATTCACAGTTGTAAGCTGATCAGTCGATAACGATGATGACGATGGTGTTTCATTAACAAAATCATTAGGGGGAGCAGGATGGTCATAACAATAACAGGTGGTGTTAAACTGATGAATACTTAGACCAATTTGTGCAAATATATCAGATAGTAATAAAGGTGGTTGTTGAATTTCAACTGTAGTAGCGATTGACAATCAAGATTTGAAGAAGTCTAAAAGAAATGGAAACAAGATAGGATAACATGATTGCTATGTTTGAAGAGATTATGAGTTCACGTGATCTGAGAACGGAACGTAGATTCAGTGACACAATGACCAAATAATCGAACTATTCCGATGCATCCCAGCCTCATTAATCAGCGAGAGAAGTTCAGGTTAAGAAGAGGGAAATGTATTCCACAAGCAGCCAGAAGCACGAACAACAACCACTAGCATAATTCAGGCGTATATATACAGCATAAAAATGTCGTTGGGAAGCGTTACAAAATAGCATATTAAAAGAGACAACGAATCAATGACATTTAAGGTTTTCCCAAGTGGTAAATAGGACATGAAGATGAAAATGGGCGCTTTGGCGCGAAAACAAGAAATTCAAATTTCCAAAATAAAATCGCAAAAATAAGACATTTACCAAGTGAGTTCTGAGGATCTAACATCCCCAACAATAATATTCTTTTCCTACTTGTATAAATAGATAAATAAACGCGTTATATAATGATAAACCTAGACACAAAATCTCCTTTTGACTACATTCAACGAATTAACACACATATTAACAGAATACAAGCGATGTTTAGGCACTATGACTAGTGACCATATTACAACATGATTGAAAAGATTCGATCAACACTTAGAAGGACTATATAAATTTAACATTAGTCACCAGTCTGTGATCAAGTATTTGCAAACAGCTTAGTTCTACAGAAGGTCAGTCTCTGTCCGAATAGCTCAGTGGCGTTTTAGGCTGTGGTGCTTGGTAATCCAGGTTCGAATCCCATAGGATCTATCAGTTCCCTAAATAGCAGATGAATATGTGGTTTACATCATTTTCTCTCTTTTAAAAAACAGCCAGATAAATAGTGAACGTCTCCATTCATACAGGTAAGTGGCAAATAATTCTTGTTTTATGATAGTAACCTTGAAAAAATTGCTGTTTCAGCGACTGACACTCGATATGTGATAATAATAGGATAATTAATACATTCTCGCCAGGCACTCTGTTGGTGCACTAGATAATGCCAATATCGCATACATTACGTGATACGCAGGTAAACAATTATCGACCAACTACAGAGAACCAGACTATAGAAACAATAAACTACTTAAAGTATAAGCAATCAACCAAGGAAAATTATATTGTACCAACGGCCCTGAGCGACCAATAGAAAGTAAGCTAGCCGATGGGCAAATCCGAAACGCTGTTGCAGATAGGTTGTTGCTAAAACCCATGATTTTCACAATATTTTGTACTTCGAGAAAATTGAATGATGATTTTCTTGTGGAATGAACTGTTAAGGTCAATATGTTTAGTTTAGGTGTTAATGGGAGCAGTATTAAGGTTCGAAGTCAGGGTTTGGGAGTTTTAGGCTAAGGAACAGGCGTTTAAGAGTACTAAGGTTGGGAATTATGTTTAGGAATTAGGACCTAGCGTTCAGAGGTTTTAATGTTAGAAGTCAAGACTAGGATCCGTCTTGATTACAGAACAATGACTTAAAGCTTCAAATCCTATGTAATTTTATCATTTTTCTATATTTCAGGGCTCTTACACGAAAGGTCTATTCTGATTGTCTAACTGCGGTTGGTAAATCTCAAAGTCATCCCTGAAACCACTCAAGGTTGTCGATGTGACATAATTTTACCACCGACCACAATTGAATCTGAGTAAAGATTAGAGTTACTATATAAAAAATACTCGATTATGTGACTAACTACAGGAATATATCTGTCTTGGCTCACTAGTAACTAATTCCTGCTCTGAATTACAGGTTTACAACCTCACACCCTGAAAAATGGGATTGTAATCAAAGTACTCCATAAAAATAGAATTTAACAAAGGGAAAAGCACTAACTTCATTTTTGGCATCAACTATTTTGATATGCACAGAAAATAAACGTGAACGTGATTTAATTAACTCTGAACTCGTCATTGGAATATTACTACAACGATCATTCATACTAAGAAAATCACTTAATAAATATGGACCAGCAATTATATTTGCATTTAATTCACGAAGACGTTCTGATGAGATGATGCTTTCAGTAGGCATATGATACACACGTCCAGGAACTGAAAAGTACAAACAAAGCAGATATATATATATATATATATATTATATATATATATGATTTTAAAACAAAATCTACTGTAATAATAGTCGAAACAACAAGGTTATTGATATGACGATCAGATACCGAACCGTAATAGTTTTTGATCACCTATTAGCATTACTTATCATGATCCCCAAATCCCCTGGTACGGCCGAAGGTGGGACAGTTCGCTCTCCCTCTTCGAAGTGCCCTCCTATGGCCACGCGCATATAGCTACTGCCAGGGAGATTCTGTTCACTGCATTTTTACAGAGAGGGTGTTGTTCACAAAACTGATATAACTAAAAGCGAATGCCGTTGCTTAAACCTGATTCGTGAGTACGGGAGTTGGAAAAGTCTCATTCCAAATCGATGGTGCTCATTAGCTCCAGGATCCTGAGGAACAAATGGGATACGAAACCATTCTTGGTCGCTGGCTATCATGAGACCTTATCTCTTAACGTTGTTCCAGTACTTTACGGATTGAATTTCTAAGTCATAGGCTCAGGGAGTAGCCCCACCCCGAAAATCATGTGCTTTGGTTTGGACATTTGAACAGCATCCCAGAATATACAAAACTTCAAGAATTTTTTGTGGCGCATATATATTTTAGTGCCCTTTTGCACCAATGTTCGGGTTTAAACAAATAGATCATTTCAGCAATGATACTTCGGTTCTTGATTTTAGGTACACCAGGCTGATGATAAAAATAAGACGAGTACCACCTAGAATGACATCTAGATTAACGGATGCACGTCGACTGCCTCCAAAATATCTGATATCATTTTTCGTTGCGATGTCAAGACACTGTCTATTGTTTATGTTTCAGGCATGATCAATAAAATGCGACCAGTACTAAACAGCCATGAAACGGATAACTATGAATAATACTAATTCTACTACTAGACGGTAAATATACATGAATCTACACTATGTGCTCAGTATAAGTGAAATTCATCAGTAACGAAAAAGCTGTAAGTGTACAGATTATAACTTAATACTACAAAAAATCTAAGTAACCAACTCAGGTTGATTTTATTTGGTTTCAGTCTCGTTTAGGACTAATAAAAAACTGTAAACGTATTATTGGTAGTAAGTAATCAAACAGAGACGACTCTAGAAAAGAGAATAGATTCCCGGAATAAAATGCACATATATATAACAAAAGCAACATATGGTTTTCATTGAAAAAGAATTAAGGACAATTTAGCGAAGAAACTTTTCTTTTCGATGATATCAATTACTTATGTTGCACAATCGTATTCATAGTTAATTAACAAATAAAATAATTATCAGTATGGGGATTTGTGGAAATTGTAGTATTTTCACAGCTGAATTCACGAGTCAATCCGGAATCCAACGGTGTTAATGTTTAACTTCAATCAATCCATGATCGTGAGCTCCCCATCATCCACTAACTGAAGCGGATAACTGTCTCACACCCAACACGATTCAACTCCACTGGTCATAGCTTCTCATTAGAACTCCAGGAAATCCATCTTCAAGTTAGTCACTAATGAACACATCATTATTATCAGTATGAGGATTTGTGGAAATTGTAGTATTTTTGCAGTTGAATTCACGAATCGATTTAAGCTAAACCACTAGTGAAAACTTATAATTCACTGAAAAACCATCTAACGGAATCCTTAAGTAAATCTTTTTATGCTGCTAATTTTCGCATCGTCTTTATCAGCCGCACTATCATTAATGGATATGCCAAAGATATACTACTGTGTCGAGCCACATTATAATGTATTTATAGGTTTACTTGCTCTTGTGGAGCAGGTTACATTTACTACACAAAGTGAGCTCTTCCCAAATGCATCTCCGAGTATAATCCTATGAGGCTCTCAAAAGGCGAATGTAAAATAATCAATAGCCCAATATTAAAACACCTTGTGAATTCTGATCACACGACACCATATAATAAATGCTTCGAAATCATCAATATAATCAGATGATTTAGTTCGAGAGGAGCACAAATTAATAATTTATGCATTGCAGAAGCGTTAGCAATCCTACTTTTTATGCTTAAGCTCTGACTACAAAAGAGATACATGCAAGCCATCACTCTTCGATGGCCCTAACACCTAAAGTTTCAAAAATGGTAACTTGATCTTATGTTTTGGTTTTCTTAATTCTAATTATTCATTATCACTTTCAAGTTTTTGATTTATTATCCACCCTTCTCACATTTGATTTCATCTTATTATCTCTAATCAATTCTCAATTATTAAGCAATTTTCTTTGACATACGATATGATATAATCGTCATCCTATTTTTAGTAAATTTTGTTTGTTAATGATATATCCCGACGAGAATAATGAATGGTAATTTTTGGGATCTCTTCATGGACTAATATTATACATATATTTTTATTGTGTAATTGTTAAGTAACTAAACTATGTATAATCATATTACTCTTATTATAAGCTTTATTTTGACCTATGAACTATTATTATACGATTTGCCATACTTGAGATATTCCCAGATTTCTAATTACAGTCTCCCACAATCACAGCCATCCACGGCTAAATCTTGTACAAGTGTTATTTTCTAATTTATGGTGTGATGTGGTCTGTTTGGTTTGTATATAAACCAAGTATGTCTGAAATATATGATTCGTGTCGCGGAAGCTGACATTGGCGTTCTGGACTTAACAGGCGGAACTAGACTGCTCGTACGGGTTTATGCGTCATTGGTCCGGTCGATAAGCCAATGTTCTCTGATTGTCGGTATCATTATGTTATATCTTAATAGGCTACAAACTATAACAGTTAATTAGAAACACAATTATATATATATATATATATATATATATATATATATATATATATATATATATGATTTAAGATGACAAGGGATAAACATTGCCAATGTTTTTTAACATTATCATACTAACAAAATTTTAACATTTAACCTATTTTTCAATTAGTTGTTTATACAAACCAAATGATTAACTGGAAACAGAAACCCCTTTTTAACCTAATGCTAAACCTCATTAATACAATGCTTACAAAGAAGAGAACAGTTGTACTAAAAAGTATTGAATCAACCTATATTACCAAAAATAACATACTTTTTAAATAATTTGATAGTAATGCATTATTGAAGTCGATATTGTCATCTGAAGTTTGTGATTTGTATTCTGACGAATGTGTACAGTCGTATTCATTATCGATAAATGGAGCGTTTAAATCGTGTACCACCAAACTATGATCAAGAACTGATGACACATGATGAAATTCATTACAGTCGGCATTTGTTGAGGTTTTTGAAGGGTTATGAATAAAACTGACAGGATTATTAGATGAAATATTTTTTCTTAGAAGAGTTATATATACATTAGATTGATTTTGCACTTTCTAAAATATAAAAACAGGGTTTCAAAATAATGATAATACTGGTAAACGAGTTTTATGGAGAAAGCGTTCATCGATTGATGAGACGATTTTCTCGATTGATAAAATCAATGAATAGAATGCTAATCGATGAATGAACTAGGTGATATGATGCAGTCGAGTGATGGACACTCACTAGACCATGTCGACTCAAACCTCTGAATGATTTAGCATCAAAGACAAGACCACTAGTCAGATGAATAGGTTATGTAATAAAATAACGTGCTTATAAACTGAACATGAATACAAAATAATGATAGGCATTTGGAGAAAACTAGCTGTTGGTGATTCATTATCTAGTTAACTAGCACCTGATTGTTATGGTCTAATCGTTGAACATCGTATCTAAGAGATATATAATTAGTATGCTCAACTATATTACTTTATATTCAGGTTGAAGAGGAAGTATATATGCAACTCATTGTCCTAAAGCAACACAGAAGACAGAGACATCCCAAACACTCGTTCAATGTGGCTAACAAACAATTTTTACGCGTACCGTAGTGAATTTACGAATCTATAGGTAAGTCAGTCAATAAAACTAGAAGAAAAAAAACAATCTTTCAAAGAACATTCACTGTGAAATAGAATAAAAAGTATGAAACTGAGTAGGGCTAAAGAGTTTCGTCTCAGGTGTCTGTTTCCCGTTACCTTTATACTTTAACTCATTCACTGAGTACTTGGATATAAGTCAGACTTTATATTTGAGAGATAATGATACCACCCGGTTGTTAGAACCAAGGATTAAATAACAGAAATAGAAATTATTAGGAAGAACCAGCTGAAATCGATTTCGACAGAACAACCTGTTAATTGCGTATGGAGTATTCCTAATATCCTGAAGCTTCATGGAGTTTGAGCGGTAAAAACGATTATAGAGGTGACCCTCAGTGACAATTGAATGACCTTGAGAAAATAAGGCTTGTTTCCAGCCAATCAGAATGCAATCCATACGAATGTTTAATTTATTATTTAAAAAAACACGGAACATTTGAATTTACAATTTTTTACATTGTCAATATATCTACCCAGGGACACAGTGGGCTCTTTAATGCTTGAGTCATAAAATGTCCGATACAAAAGCTCATCTATATGACATGAGTTTATCTTACTTACGAAAACTTTGTAAAGTCAAAGATAGTTTTTAAAACAATCCTGTATGTATCAGTGTCAGTCAAAACACACTACAAGCTATCAGTGTACCACACCGTTACCTTTACCACTCTTAAATACGGTAAAAACCGTTAAATAAAATACTCAGCATTATCCGACATTATGTTCTGCTGCCAAATTTCTACGATTTACCAAATCGCTTATGAGGATGGAAAGACTACAGCGAATAAGAATGTTTAATTACTAGATTGGATTATAATGTATCAAAATCATATTTCTATGACGATAACGTCTACACTGAGAATTTGAACAGATACATAATTGGCTTTCTCCAATAACAAACTACATTTATTATTTCCCATCTAACGTTTAACTATGAATTGGTACATGAGCACATAAGATGTTACTTATGCTCGTGCCCCCAAATGCCCTGGTACGATCGAGAATGGGAAGAGTCAGCTCTCTCTATCCAAATGCTCTCACATGGCCACGCCTAAACAGTCTCTGCCAGGGAAGTCCTACTCACTGCCTTCTCGTGGCATTACTGTTGTTTACGAAATTGAGAGGAAGAAAAGCGAATGTCTGGCGCTTGAACCAAGTTGATGGACATAGAGAGTTCACCTAGGGGAGTTGGAAAACCCTAATTCCAAACCAATGGGACTGCATCTCCTCACGATGCTCCACTGCCTTGTGGATCAGACCTTTAGGTCGAAGGCTCTGGGTGTGGTCCCCCAAGAAAACCATCTACTTCGGTCTGTGCACCCGGGCAGTATCCCAGCCCTCACACAAATCATATGTATCTGATGCCTTCTTGTACCAATATCTATGTGTTCAAATAAATAAATAAAATGTATGTTCGGATAGTTTATCTGTTCGTAAATTATCAAACAGTTGGTTACCATATGCATATTTTTTTTAAAAACCAACATTTGAAAAGATTCATATTTCAATATTGGGCCAATAATAATAATCATAATCACTTACATCATATTGTTTTAATGTTGAATGAAATATAAAATGTGAAATTAAATATACTCGTGGTAAACTAATCTCTAATAGATATTCAGATAATATATTCTGAGAATTTAATATTACATGATCATTATGAATGATATTTTTATTCATTGAATTCATATTTGATTTATTAATATTTTGTTTAATTAAATTTTGATAATCATACCAATTTTTAGTATTAAATTCCCATAAATGAGTAGATATATTAGATGATAAACTAAGTTGAACAGCTAATGTAGCACATTTTAACATTACTGAAATATTATATAATATATCATTAGTTAATTTTGATTTCTTAAATGATTCTTTTTCTAATTGTATATAACGTGTAACTAATTTAGAAAGTATTTGAATTGTATTATTATTATGAATGAATGTTTCTTCATTAGTAGTTTTTATTGTAGAAGAAGATAATAATGGAAAAAGTTCCACTTCATACCAACCAATTTGATTTGGAAAATTCACTTGAATTAATGAATCTAATGGAATAGTTTTTAATAAGTTGATATAAAATAAAACATTGTTCTAATGGACAATTATAATAGGCATATAGATCATTTAATGAATAACTATTATTACTATGACTACTATTATGATTATGAATAGGAAAGAATAATTCAATTTTCTCATCAGAAGATTCATCATATTGTTTATGAATTGGTAATATTGAATTATATAAATGAATACGTTTTTGTTTATTCATATCATATTTAAATAATTCATGATTATGTAATTGATAGATGTACATTTCACCATTTACAGTGCCTAAACATATATTTTCTAAACCAGTACAATATGTGAATGTATCAAATTGTATATTACAATACATATTGTTGTTATTTATTTCATTATTATTTTTATCTTCATTAACTGATAAGATTGGATTAGATATTATTATTTGAGCATAACATAATAGATTTTTATAAACATTTATTTGTAACAATGAATTGTATACTGTTAATATGAAACAACAAAATGATAAGTCATATGTTCCTATGGTAATTAAAGGTGAGTCTATGGTAAACTTTAAATTATTATTAGTGGTAGTAGTAGAAGTAGTATTGTTGACAACTACACATGATTGTCCACATTCATATTGTAATTTAACTGAAGGATATAAAGTGTTTAAAGAACAAACATGTAGATCATTAGTGCTGGATACCACATCCATTTGAACAGGACAATAGTGATCAGGCAATTTAATGTGCAAAAGTGGAGTTTCATCAATAACTAAGTGATAACCAACTGAATTAGGTAGAATACAGTCATTTTCATTATATCTAAAAATTTTAAAAGAAAAACGATATAATTTCATTTATTTATTTAAACACATAAACATTGGTACAAGGAGGCACCAAATATATATGCACCACACTTTGCCATCTGATTTATGTGAGGGCTGGAATACTGACCAGAACGCTCAAACTGAAGCAGACGAGTTTCTCAGAGGGCAACTCCGGGAGCCTTTAACCCAAAGGCCTGATCTATAAGGCAATGGGGCAACGTCAGGAGATGCAGTCCCATGGTAGCCAGAGACGAACAATAGGTTCATACACCATCTGTTCCTTCATCATCCTGGAGCCCATGTGCATCATTGATTTGGAATCAGGGTTTTCCAACCCCCTAGGTGGATCCTCCATATCCACCAACCCGGTTAAAGCGCCAGACATTTGCTTTTTGTCCTTTGGATTTCGTAAACAATACCCCCCCCCGCCGAGAGGAGGCAGTGAGCAGGACTTTCCTGGAAGTGGTTGTATGTATGTGGCTATGTGAGAGCACTTCGAAGGAGGGAGAGAGAGAGCGGATTATCCCCACACTCGGTCGAACCAGGGTATTTAGGGGCATAATTTTTTTACCGAATACCTAAATGACGAAACTATTAATAATCAAGATTAAAAATAATAAGTGTTAACTAGCATTTACAATATAATAGCTTTCTTTGTGGACATGATTTTAAATAACTGAGAAGCAATCGGGGATCTAAATTTAATCAGTGAGCCATAATCAACGTATAGCTTAGGCATGAGTAAACGTTTGTTCACGTACCCATATTACATTGGTACAAGGAGAAGAGTTTAAAAACATTAACAGTGAAGAAATCGAATATGGGAGCATAGATAATAAGAGTTGGTCACCTATAACCTTCTTTCAACCTACTCGTACAGCGGTTAAAATCACTTGTTGAGCGTTAAGGATGGTGGGTCAGAGAGTGTACATAACACACGTCCAAACTAGTACTTGAATTGTGATAACTTTCAGGGGTGTATGTCTTGCAAAAAAGATGACACGGAAATAGAATTTTATTGTCCCAAATGCAGAGTACTGTAAATAAAACAAGACTTATTTATGCACTGTAGTTTATATGAAGTTTTATAAATCAGTTTCACGTATTTATTAGATGGATTCGATAAAAATAAATGACAGAATAACTAAAACTTACCCGAATAAAAATAAATCACCATCCTCAATCGATTGATTATCAGTAGTTGTTTTATGATGAAGCTCTACATGTGATAATGATCTTGACAAGCCACAACAAACAAGTATACCTTGAGAATAAGCGGAATTACCATTATTGAAGGATATTGTTTGCAATGGTAGTGGTGATATTTGTAAAATACGAAAATTAGGATTTTCAAGGTCATTATTAGTACTATCAGCAGTAACTGACAAAGGTATGACACCAACAAGTTTCGGTAAGTTCTCAACACATCCACTCTTACCATTTTTATTTTCAGAATAGTCAGAGCATAGAAATGAACTGGTTGTTTCATTCATATTAGATCGTTTATTTTCAATGTGTTTTATTGATGACGACAAATTGGATGAACTTGAAGCAGATATTTTCTTTAGTTGTAATTTATTGCTTGAAGATGTGTGATAACAGTCCGTCGTAGCTTTTAAATTTACAAACTCTTCAACAACGCTAGACAAACCAATATACGTATAAAAATCATTCTCGATAAGCTATTGTAATCAAGTAAGGAAAACAAAATATTAAAATATAAGATATACTAATTATTTCATGAAATAACTACAAGGGTTATGTGATATGTTTACTGATTATGTATATGAAAAAAAAGGAGTAAAGATTTACAAGATATGTGAAGTCAGCATTTACAACAAACCATAAATGGCTAGATTGAGAATGTAGAATGGTAGTTGGATAATGATTAAAATACTTGACTTCTAACTACTAAGCTGCGTATGTTCAGTGAAATCTTAAGATCAGATTCTTATAAGATGGTTTATCTACTTATTATCTAAAAATGAATCTAGTTAAGTTTCTCAAAGTGCTTAAATAATAAATCGATTACGATTTCGAAGGCCACTTTTTCTTAAATTTGATAAAGTGTCGTGTTTTTCAAAATAACTTCAAGTCATCTCACCTTTCGTTATTTTTACGCATATTTTTAAGGGATCTCTTGACTTATCTGGGATCCTAAGATAAGACGAGACGTATTTGAACATCATTAACCTAGATTATACAAACATTTGTTTCATACACATAGTTCCCTTCATCATCTTAAAGAGAGCAAGAACGAACATTGGAGCAGCCACTAAAGTCATTGAATCGCCTACTGACAATACTGCACCAATCTTCGTTCCTGCTCTCTTTAAAACATTTGTTTGTTCATCTTTTGTTACAATAGAATTTCTTCAAATGTATTTTGACAGTTTTAGTTTAGTTAAACTTCATTAAATAACTTTGAAAGACGCACTATTTTAAACAAATTCATAAGGTTGTCTGTTGTGTTCGCAATGTTTAATAAATTTGTTACATCCGGTACAGATTTTTCGGCGAGGACTGCATATTGGTGTGTTATGTTTACCAAACAATTTAGTTCAAATGGATAGAGTTATCTCCGACTATCTGCTATGAACATGTCAGTGTAACGTACCCAAATAAGCTGGATGGAAAACAAAAATACCATGCAAATTAGAGTTTGAAACTGAATCTAGAATGATGAATAGTACAGTTTTACATGCATCGCTCATCAGTTAAATGAAAGAAGAATGGTCAGGAATGCTGGACATAAACATACTCACTGAGCACTGAAAGTGTTTCAGATAAAAACCGAAATTTCGACCATAAATTTAAACGTTTTTCAGAAAACAATAAATATATTTTACTGAAAAGTTGACTACCTTTGAATTGACTGATGATGTTGAAATATTATCTTTGGGCGCTGAATCAGTTATGATATTATTTATATGTACGCTACTTAACTTGTCAGAACTCTCCTCATCAAAGTCATCTTCATAATCATCATTATCAGTCTCGTTCTCATTATCATCAATATCTCCTAATTCTTCATATTCTATTGTATCGTCATCATTATTATTATGATCATAACCAATTGATGGAAGAAACTTGACAAGATCTATCGGTATTGAATGTATATTGAATTGATTAGGAAATATCGATTTAGGAGAAAATGGTGAAAATGGCGTTGTTGTTGTTGTTGAAGAAGAAAAAGTAGAATCAGCTATCCACATAACTTGTTCACTGTTCAATGGAGTTAATTCAATAATGATAAGGCATAGTTGATATTTTTTAAAATTGTTATTTTTAACATTCTCAAATTTATTAGTTGTTGACATGGTATGCATACAAGAGTGTAATTTATTATATACTGAATATGGTAAACAACAACCAAGAATTAAATGATGTATTTTAGGAAGTTGTGGAAGATTGATAAATTTCATAGTAGAAGAATTAGAAACTAGTAGACATCCACTATGTACTTGTAGTTGAGATTTAGTAATCACTAGTTTAGGTATAGAAAGAAGAAATTGTATTTACATGATATAAACAATGATATGATAATCAGCTACAAAACAAATACTGTTTATTTCTTCTATACATATTTTTTTTATTCATAAACATCACTTTATTTACGAAGATGAAAAAACAAACAATTAAACCTAACAGTAAACTTTATAGGTACGTGAGTGACCTATAGAACGTATACCCTCTGGTTGCTTATTTGCTAAATAATATCCAGTGATGTTTACTTTGATAAACAATACTTTGTATTTAAGCACGTTATTTCCTGGAGAAAAAATCTTATTTTATATGTTAGTTGTACAGTCTTTCGGCATTATTTCATTCAGGATTTTAGTCAATAAGTGGATCTTGTGAATAGCTATCAGTGGGACATATCGTATCAATGTACAACATCCATTGATCAATGAGATGTTTACAACAGATTTAAATTTGCAATTGATTGGTCACTACTCAACGGTTAACTAATTAGTTAGAGATGGAAGATATGCAGTAATAACTCGAACGACAACTGTGACACTATATATGACAGTTCGATTCCCTTCTAACACCCAAGTTACTCCAAATAACCAATCTTGTTAGGAATAATTATTGGACAAGACCAAAGAAGACTGAATTTACATCCAGGTTAATTCAGTTATATATCAATTGTGACTATTAATTACAGTTTCACGAACTCACAAAATACAAAATCATAGTAAAATAACTGCTAAGAAGAAAATTTACCAAGAATTAGATGGCAAAATACAACTGAAATACGCTGAAAGTTAATGAATAGAGTTCACGAAAATGTGTTGATAAGAGTGAGAAGAAATTAAGTTGGTATTAAAAAATAAGGTTGACATTGTTTCTCGTATGTTGTATTAAGGAGTATAGGTACCTTAACAACTCCCTTAATCAATAGCCATTAGTTTTCAGGTCTACCTGGAGTTGTACCGCCTTCCTCCTGGATCGAACAGACCATCTCCTGCCCACAAATCCAACCCTGGAGCTAAAACTGTTTCCCCAAGGGTTGACAGACGGACGGTGTACTGAAACTGCTCTGTCAATGGCAGGTTACCTCCACAAGCATGAACAGCCTTTTGTATGGCAGCCCGAAAAGCATAACGGTATCTTTTTTTATTTATTTTGTCTAAACACATTATGATTTCTATTAACCGCATAACCTATTAAGGCGCGTATATTAAAAGTTTACGATCTATCGCTTTATAGCATGTGATGAATATGGTCTGATACTGACGTGTGTTTAACATAGAACATAAGTTATAATAAACAGGACTAGTATGACCTAAAATATATTTTGTTTGGATATTCGCGTTGATGTTTGGGACTGGAGTGAATGGTACTAGGTTTGAATCTCGGAGTGAACACAACTCTGGGATGCAGGTACATCCAGCTGACGAGTCCCAACGAAACGGGCGTCCTAGATTTCACTGCTAGCCATCATCCATTTCTGCTTAACATTTTGTAACATATTTAAAATCTCACACCATCACTTACTTTCGATTATCTGACTGTAACTATCATACACTTGTGTTATAACTAAACATTATTGCTAGCTTTCAATATTCAACATAAATACATTTTACGTGCTGACCCATCAGTTTACTTTTCTTTATTCTTATCTCTTCCAAGCCCTCCTGAACACAATACTCTTCATACTCCCTCGACAATTAGCATGCCGTCAAACTAGACATAGACCTAACTTAGACTAAACGTTAAAATATAAATGCATTGAACACTTGTTTTTCCTACATTTTGCAAATATGAACGATTATTTTTAGTGGAAAAAAACGCAATACACCTAACTTACTTTCACTGGCAGTAGTAGTAGTAACTATCGAAGCATTCAATACATCCACAAGATTGAATTCTAATGAACGCTGGGAGATATTCAGAACAGAGGCATTGAAAATTTATGACATAAGATGACAGTGATAATAAGAATATAGACATGATAATAAATTATCATAGAAATATAGATGATTGACGAAACATTTCATTTGATTTACCATTAAGTATTATTATTGGCAATGGTTTAATTTGTGTAGTTTGATGAAATTCAGTAACCGACTGAACAAATTCGTGTACTTAATGGGTTTTTCAAGTTACACGTACATTGAATTTACTAATAAGTAGTGACCAGTGTGATATTTGTCCACTCTTAATAGTTGAGATCATGAGTCAATAATATCCACAAAACCCCTTCTGGTATTTGTCCAATCCTTTAGTGTTAGTGTTGTTCTATAGACACTTTTATGTGGCTAGACATAGAGTGCACTATGTTGTCTCAGATTTGAAGTTTAGTGGCACGAGTGTGAAACCCACAGAGAGAATTACTTTCATTGAGACTCCAGGTACGCCTTGCTAAAGAGCCCCGACTAGCAAGAAACATAGGTTTCTTGAAGACTACCTTCAACCACTTAACATTTTAAGTCGCTTCTTTCGCATGTGAGAGTCAGTCATACTAATCGACTTCCCAAAACTGAAGTAGGAGGAATAGAGTTAGAATCTATGCAACATAATAATTAAAAGTTGAATGTTTCAACGAATAAACTACTGCTACGTTGTAAACAATAGAATCCAAGACGTGTTCGAAAGAACACCAAACCAGCGCTTATAGAACACCCCAAATTGACAGTGACATTGATTCAGTCTCTATATGTTCACTTAATTTACTAATGAGACCAACACAATCAAACTTTAATAAGGGGTGATTTTTTATTGTCCCATTTCGCGAACGCACTTGATGGTTTAGAAGATTAAATAGCTTACTCTGTTGAAATACGACAGATCCCAAACAGTAATTCCACCATCGACTGTTGAAGTTGCGACAAAATCTTTTGATGTAGAAGCTGTAAGCACCATGATCTGAATTATTTAAAACGTAATAAAGAAAACGTACAACCGACAAAAATAAAAATTTAGTCGAAAGAATTCTCTTTATATAAACTTAAAAATAACTTGATCCTCACAAAAATGACCAAAACCAAAACAAGAATTGCACATGAAAATTACAAGCTGTAACCTTGCTGACGAGTACTAACTAGCACGAAGCCTCAGTTAACAGATTCAAACTGTTTTTAATTACTTCAAATAAAATAGTCATAACTACGATGTTGTTATATCATCACCATATTACAAACCGTTCAAAGTTATATTAGCGGCATATGTCATTTTGGACCATCTTTGGTGTCGCTCTGATGTTAGTTTGGCTGTAAAAGGTCTGCTGCACAACACATTCGTGAGAACAGTTTCACCATATGTTTGTGAAATCTGGCCTATCCATGGTAACAATGTGTGGCGACTTTGTGTTCAACCAGTCCAAGAAAACCCTGCGCTAGTAATACAGAGGTTTGGTGATGTGTATATATGGAGCCAGTGACAATAATTCAACCAGTCACTATTTTGAAAAGCTGACTTCGGTAGTGTAGGGATATTTTACAAAGATCATCCCAAAAACTTTCGCACTGCGATTCAATTCCCAACATTGACAGTGGGTGAAAGATGCAAAGGTAGTTAGTTTACGAAATCGCACCGCAGTGCAAAACGAAGCTCCATAGGACTAGTTTTTACTGGTTCATCAGGACTCGTTGGATAAGGCTACATAGATAATGGAACTCAGTGAATTGAGACGTTATCAGATACGAATCAAAATAGAAGCCAATGGTGATCTTGTCGGAGTCTTCAATAATACATCAAAACAGTAATAATATCATTTTAGTGTTTTTAAATAAACTGTATCTCTTAGTAAATACTATTTCTATTTATTATTTTAGTGATTGTGTCACTTTCCTATCCTTTATTTTTGCACAATTTTATCGTTTCATTTATGATATATGCATTTTCGTTGCCCGACTGTACTAAAATTTATGTACATTAAAACAATAAGTAAAATACAAAGTGATCTCCAGTCATAAAATCGACAAATAATTCACAATTTACAGTTAACATCGATGGAATAACTATTTTTGAAAACAGTAATTATATTTAAAATAATATATGATGATATGAATGGAACACCTGAAAGTTTCTTACAACTGACTTACTAACTAATTTAAAAGTAAAGGTAAACAATCCTATAAATAAAAAGATTAAAGCTAAAACTGCCTAATATGTAGACAAAATTATCATTTGGTCAACCGGTTGACAACTACTGTAGTGAACAAGAACACGAGTAGGGACAATCGAATGTATTTGAACACGAAATTATGGAGTATCTCATTAAAATTTGAGAACAGTACAGTAAATACTTAATTTCCAAAACATCAATCGATTGTCTCAGATTTCATTGTTCCTGCATTTTCATACCAATTGCTTTCTGTTACCGTTCTTTCCTTCTTGATATTTTGCTGAAATACATTCTACTCCTGACTATTGTTATATACTACTCATGTGTATATAAGTAGCGTACACTATACCACTACTTTTAGTCAATAGGTGAAATGTTTCAAAGCTCCTATGCTTACGTTATTTTCGATGCTTTCATAGCTTTTCTAATATCCACATGTGAAATACTATTAAAAGCTCCGTAATATTCGTCTTGAAATAGTAAGAGAATTTCCACAAAAATTTCAAGATGGTGATGGTTAGAAAACAGGTAAAGACTAATGAAATTCTTTGAAAACTTAAACTTACAGGATCATCAGATATTGAATGAGTTTGTGCTGTTTCTGTTGACCATGAAACTGAAAAACAAACCCAACTTACTTAGGTAACATATGCAATACAATTTGCAAGAATAAACAACAGTAACAAAAGAATATACATGATAAAACAATTAGTCGAACTGATGACAATCTGTACATTTTTTCTAGAACATGTGAAGAATCGCTATGGTTCATATAACAGTGCCATGTAATCAGTAACATTCTATTACATGTAGATATGCTGCCAGACCGTATACTATGTTGCTGCTGAAAAAGTCGATCTTTTGAAAAGTGATGATTTAACAGAAAATTGTCAAATATCCTCACGTTGGAGAGAGCAAACATGACAATGACGAAACTGAATTCCCGTGTCATACGGGATGTACAAGTAACCGCCAGATGGAGTGCATACATGCGGCTATTTATCAGTCTACATACAGTCAACAAAATTAGGAAAAAATCACCGAACTTGCTTTTTAATGATAGTAGGAGAACAAATTAAGTTCATATTCTACTATTTCCCTCAAGATAGTAGGACTCATGTTTACTATTAGTGTGGCTTTTCATATGAGTCTTTCGCAGACAAAGACACTGTTTAAACACCAGAACTTTTGGTTCATCCTCTGATTTTCGCGATAGGAGAGTAGGATATCCTTGGAAGCTGTGAAAGCACAGGAGTATGATAATTTCTCAACGAGAGTAGCTATTCCCTGCCCTCAGACAATTGAAGGATATTGAAGCCTGTTTCTGAGCATAAGATTAGAACTACTAGGTTTAAAACACCTACGGGGGATAACTCCTCATCTCGCAAATAGTAGGTTCTAGAACGTCACAAAAAGTATTGGTTTGGTTTTTCACACATTGAAATACCATAGAAAGAGAATCAGCAAAAATGACGATATTAAAACGAACAAGAAAGTGGATTGATAAAATAAAAACAACACTTGAAGATATAAATGAAGAGTGGATAATACATGTGGAAGTCTAATAGACTGTTAGCTTATTAGAACTGGTACATTCGTTTCATTGGTTTGCACTTGGGGCCACACTACAATTTGTTCAACCAGATAGTATTACAGACACCTATACAAAATGTGACACTAACCTGCACTTGGTTACTGAACGGCCTTCATCAATTCAATAAACTAATTCCCAAGGATTCCAACGTTTATGTTCAGATTGTATGTAATAGTATATTTATATAACGGTGAAAAAAACCAAGTATTGACTGAACCCCGCTATTCAAAATTAAATACTTACATGTACTAGGTATGCTTTTCGAATTTGGAGATGACACAAAGCTGCATTGAGGTGAATGTCTGATATGTTCACTCCATGGCTCATCAGTTGGTTCCCAAGATGACAATCTAACTAAACATTCAAGACAAAATACAATGTCAAGTGGGAACTTAAATGGGAAGTAAAATCCAGCTTCGGACAAAGTGGAAGGCGTTGCCCATCTGAAAATAAAGTCCAACACAATTGGAATTACTATTGTACCTTTAATGCACTATTAATAAATGGATCTTTAGCTACAGAAACCATTCTCCTACTGACATTACATAAAGCAGGAGTGAAGTCCTTTTAAGTTAATATACAGTCACTTAAGTAGAATTATCCTAAACCCTTTGAAACAAATACTACTAGTAAACTTATTCTACAGGAGATGATAAGAAAATACCTACAGGGAGTTATTCTGAACCACCACGGCAGGCTTAACGTCAAGTTTAAGCGGCTTTCTACAGACTTCAGGATAACAGAAAATCGGAACCATAACTCTAGTATTCGACTTCTGATAATACATTGTAGAGGCCCAGTGATTAAGGAAATCAGTTATTCAACAAAAGGAGGCAGGTTAGAATGACCAGTATACTTTCGTTTATGTATTAACGTAGCATTACTAGCTCTTAACATTGGGACCCACTACACGAACTGGTACTTAGTAAGTCAGTCAGTCAGTAACAACGTAGAACTTCGTACGTACGTACATCAGTTCGAGTTGCCACACCACATTAGCACAGAGATGCAGTGGTCGATTCAAATCCCGTAGTGGTAGAGGTAGTAAGAGTATAAGCAGTAATCGGAAAGATTAGGGTTTGGAGATGTTATTTAAAGAGTATAATCCAGTGAAATAAATTTGGGAAGAGAAAAAAAGAGACAAGGAGGAATCAAAATTTGGGAGAACACAAAGAGTGTATGCACCTGCGCCATTGCAAACGATTTTGAGCCATGCCATTCAGGGTCTCTAACCATCGGTTGCCATCATCTCGCGGTCCCCAACCAGGTAGTCTATACCTACCAACATGACTCAGTCCACTTGTCAGTGACTTCATGGACTTGTGCCATGTTTTGGTCTGGCCGCCCCTAGCTTTCTTCCAACCTACTCCTATACCACTGAACATCGCACGTCAAGGCAGTCGGTCGTTGGGCATACGTAACACGTGTCCCAGCCATCTCAACTGATGAAGTTTCACTACGTCATCAATTGATTTGCTATCCTTACCTAGTACCCGTTTCCTAACAACTGCATTACTTACTCGATGGTCCCAGGATATACGAGCAATAATTCGAAGACACCTCTGATCAAATACTAGTAACCTACGAATATCCTCTACTCTTACCGGCCATGTTTCACTGCCATAAAGTAGGACGGAACGAACTGCTGCGCAGTAAACCCGTCCTTTGGTTGATAGACGGATATCTCGCCTACTCCATAAATGACGCAAGTTGGTAAAAGCTAGTCGAGCCTTCTGTATCCGTGCTGAGATTTCGTCACACACCAGACCACAAGGGCTGATGAGACTTCCAAGATAAGTGAAGCGGTCGACACGCTCAATTACTTCACTCCCTATCATTAGTTCGGGTGTTAATGCAACCCAATCCTGAAGCAACATTTTGCATTTCGAGGGGGAGAATCGCATGCCGAACATGCTTGCATTGTTGCTTAGAGTGGTCGGAAGACTCTGTATTTTGTCAGCGTCTTCACCAAATAGGACGTCGACGACAAAGTTAAACAAGAATGGAGAGAGTGGACAGCCCTGACGAACACCACTTGAGGTAATCAATTCTGATGACAGTTCGCCATAAGCTCTCACTCGACCAGTTGTGTTCGAGTAGAGAGCCTTTATAAGGTTAATGTACTTCTTTGGTACTCCTTTCAGTGACAAACACTGCCATAGAACCTCACGATCAACAGAGTCGAATGCCGCCTTAAGGTCGAGAAATACTACCATTGTGGGGCGTCTGAATGTGTGTCTGTGTTCTAGAACCTGACGTAGTGTGAATATCTGATCTATACAACCACGTCCAGGTCGAAAACCAGCCTGATTTTCTCTAGTCTGCTCTTCACGAGCTTTAGTTAGGCGTCGAAGTATTATTGAAGCTAATATTTTAGACACTATATTAGTCAAACTGATTCCTCTGTGATTGTCACAAGAGGACTTTTGTCCTTTCTTATAGACTGGCACAATCAGTGATTGAGACCAGTCAGATGGGATTACGTCCAGTTCCCAAATTCTACCTAAGACCTCAGTTAATCTCACTGCTAATACTGGACCACCATCCTTAAAAATCTCAGGAGTAAACCTGTCAGGGCCTGCTGCTCTCCCTCGTTTCAGATTTCCTATGGCTTTTTCAACTTCGTAAAGAGACGGAGGACCTACATTAACTTGCCATTCAGGTTGACTGGAGATCGTGGGAAACCGAAGTGTGGCTGAAGGCCAGTTGAACTGATCCCTAAAGTGTTCTGCCCATCGATCCAATCTCCTGGATTGAGAATGTATAATATGTCCATCTTTCTCTGAGATTGTTTCGCTAACAGTCGGTTCCTAATTCCGGTTTCCTTAACAAGTCTGAACAATTGTCTGCTATTACCTATTGCCGCTGCCTTTTCCATCTCTCTTGCTTTCGCTACCCACCACTGTTCACGATCATTGCGTAGACTTCTTGTCAGCTTGCGCTTAAGCTGACTCCGCTCTTCATTATGTTCAGAGCCAGGTGGAATGAGATAGATGCTGCTGAGATCCAGTGTTGCTCCCTAACCTTACGGGTTACCTTACTAGCAGATATCACTGCTGTTTCCACAGCTTTTCGGATATCATTCCATGCTGCATCGGGGTGGGCATCACATACATGGCTGCCTAACTGTTTTCCTAGTTGTTCCTGAAATATACTCTTAGCTTGACTATCATTAAGTAGGCCCCTAAGAGGTTTCCTTGCAGCGTCTTTCCTACGTCCAGTAAGACGCAAGCAGATACGCGCTCGCACTAGAGCATGATCTGAATCTAGGCATGTGCTCCAGAATGAGCGACAGTCTTCTATCGAGCCCCTCCATCGGTGGCTGATAGCGATGTGATCTATTTGGGTCCAACGTTGGGACGAATTCGGGGGTCACCATGTTGAAAGATGTTTCTCCTTATGCTTAAAGTTAGTATTTGCAAGGAACAGGCGGTTATCTGAGCATAACTGCAACAGACGGTCGCCATTATCTGTTCTTTGAGCCACGACACCATAAGATCCACCTAGGTGTCTTTCCCTATCGCTAAGTTTACCTACTTGAGCATTAAAGTCACCGGCCACTATTACTACATCCGAGCGCCTAGCCTTTCGGAGGAGGTCGGAGAGCTTTCTGTAAAACTCATCTTTTACATCATCTGCGCTGCAGTCAGTGGGAGAATAGGCAGAGACGACGAAGAGGCAACAACGAGTGTCCCTATCTTTCCGAGTCCTTACTGTTCCGTTCAGTCGGACAGCGCACAAACGACTGTCTACTGGGATCTAGTCTAAGAGAGATAGTTCTGCTCTAGGACTCAGTGCTATACCTACGCCGGCGAGTCAGTTACACTTTTTACGATACATACATCATACTCAACAAAGCTTTCTTTGTACTCAGATTTCAGTTTGCATTTACGTAGTTTTAGAATGATTAAGACACAATACACAGCAAATTAAGACGGACAAAAACAAGAGAATGCACGTGTTAATATGGTTTGATTACTGCATTCACAATTATAATACCAAGATCGAGATTTTTAGATATAACATCACTTCAGTGTGAATTAACTGTATTAATAAATAAAAGGACGTCTTTAAAAAAGACCCAACTTACTGATAATCCATGTGAGGCCAGTGAGTAAATGTAAGGCGTCTATGGGCTTCACTTTGCATGGTGAACGGTTCTCGCATAGCCGTAAAAATCAAAATACTGTCACTATCCGTTACAGCTCGTGTTAATCTATGCAGAATTGACTTCAACAGTGGGGTAGTCCGAAGCACACCTTTGTTCGCATTACTGTGCTGTAGCTTATCGAATAAACTATACAACATTTCATAACTACCATAAATGGTAAACGTTTTCCACTAAAACATATAGTCATTAAACTGAAGTACCTTAGGATTAGGACAGTCATGAGTGTCTATAACCAAACTCCCATAATCAGTGTATAAACTCTCAACAGTGAAAGAAATAGTTCAATAATGGAGCCCTGATTTGAGTAAAATTCAAGACTGATCTTGTCCGTTTTATTTCGAATGCGTTTATCAAGAAAGCCATGAAGCAGGACAGATCCATTTGAGTGGGTTCTCGCGTTAATTTCAGTTTCTCTCGTAATTACTAAACGTTCATTTGAAGGAAAATAACCAAGGAATATACGTGAACCTAAAAATAAGCATAATTCATATCCACACATACAATTATCAACCGAGCTAGTGACTAAATTTGTCTGTTTATCAAGAAAACCAGTCTGGCCATTATAAACTTGCACTTTTCCGTCGGAACTAGCTAAGATCGTAACTCCTAAGGGAGGGAAATAACAGGAAGACCAAGGCCAAAGCGATGACATGCCTGTGACCTTAAACTTGAATCCAGCGCCTTGAGAGGTCTCAGGATTTCCGCACACAGTCTTAGTTGAGTGGATAGGACGGCGATCGGCCGCTTTAAATCCTTCAAGTTAGTTGCAGTGAAGATCCGGTTTCTCTTAAAAAACGTCCGTCAATATGCTGGTATCGCTTATTTGGATAATGAGTTCCAATAACTGAGCACTAGATGAGAAAACAGAGTCCCGTTCCCAGTTTGTTCAATCGCGGATTCCAAGAATCTTTTGTATATCCACGAGAATGATTAGTTTGGAGTGGTATATAAGTCTCCAGAATAAGTAGTTCTGTCAGTCTTTAACATCAATGCTGACTTCATTGGTGTTGTAGTGGTAAATAAATCCCCAAAATAAATAGCTCTGTAAGTTTTCGACATTGGATGCTGACCACATGTTTTAATGGACCCACCTAGCTGAAGGCGCTCGGTCATGCATCCGCACCAGATCACGAGTGGAAACGCCGTGCTCAACAACCCCTGCAATCGTAAGCCAGATTAGATTAGACGATCCTCCATATATTGGTAGCTTACCAATATATCTTCGAACCTCCTCGCTTCTGTCTTTTGATTTCACTTGGTGGGTACGCTTCATATGGGTGTTACTAATAAAGCGTTGTCAAACTCCGAATACCTGTGGCATCTTCATTGGTGAGCCCGACGTGATCTGATACACCAAATCGAGAACTATGAGTCTGTTCCTTTTTGGGAATCTATATATCATTGCCCCATCTTAATTTTTTATATATTGTGACATTTTTTATCGTGCTTTTGAATATATATTTT